CTCAGGAAATATCTGTGAAACGGCGTTTCAAATCAAACTCACATGTCCGAAATTGGACCAGTCTGTCATGAGTTACTTACAGCCAGTGCGCTGCTTACCAGCATCAGAGGCTGCGGGGGGGCTCCGGTGTTGTTGGAGAATTACTAAGCTTGTCTATTAAACACAAAAGGCGTTTTCTTTCCGTTGGCCAACTTCTGAATTGAACCTCAAACTGAGTATTTTTTGTTTGCTTACTGAGATATAGAAAGACGGACTCCTAGGAGATGGGAACTGAGATAAGGACTCATTAATTGGTGGTTGAACTGTGGGTTTTGTATTGAGCGCTTACTGTATAATACACTGTGGTGAATTTGTTTTTCTTGTGGTCTGTAGGTAGGCCGACCTGATGATATTATATCTTATTATTTAATGCCATGACTGACTCTCAAATTATCTTTCTCATATTATTATAATTTGATATTTCTTCTCCACCATTGCTCATAATAATAATTCATGCATCCTAATTTCATCAAAACACAGGCCTGGCCTACAAGAAAGAACAGTGCATGTTTAATCTATCTAATATTGTGCGTTGGTCATACTACACGCTGATTTATTGCTTTCTGTTTAGAATAATACAGAAGGGTTAAAAAGCTTAAAAATTAATTTCATATTAAATATCATGGCGCTATAAACAACCGCTATCCATTCTGTGTTATAGCTGACTGCTGCTAATTATCATTCAAACATATGTCCTACATTTGCAACAGTGTTATAATTAAACTATTTATACTATACATTGTAAGTCCTTTTCCATGAAATTGTTGTACACTGGCATGCACAAGCAGCAATAAAAACCATGACACTATACCTGTTTTCCTTTCCTGAATTTACTGTACCAGGTTCCGGGCTTCTCCCTTTCCAGGCTGCTAACTTCACCTGATAGCAAACAAAACAAAACAATCAGCTTCAAGTACAGCTCAGCTTCACTAAATCAACACACCGATTGACTAAATAATGTTAATCTCTTTCCCAGAAATCATTCAGCTTTTGTCAAAGGCTCCGGTTAGCTTTGAAGAGTTTTTCAAATGCTCAAAATCTGTGTGTGTGTGTGCACGAAAACTAACCGACTGGAACTTCTGTCAGGGTACAGACACGTCTCTCCCTGTGCAGTGAAGTTACAAAACACCTTGAAGGAGTCTCTATGGCAACCCTGGTTTGGATCTATCCAGTACTCACCTGGAGAGAGAGGAAAGGGTAGAGGAGGGCAGAGGGTAAAAAAACACATTGCTAATACCAGTGTCAACAACAAAAACACCAAACAGAGAAAAATCACACAGGAAGCAGACACGTGGACAGCTATAGGAAGAAAGACAGGCCGATACAATGAGTCAAGACTTGCAGGCAAACAGCTGTGATAAACAAAAGGTCAGAGACACAAATTGATAAAGTACCGTTGGGGAGATCTGGGTGGAGGAGCCAGAGCTCCTTACAGGTGCGGGCGGGGCTGTGGTACGTCCCTTGTGGGTTACGCAGACCCTCCACCTCTACTTTCATAGAGGACAGAGATGCAAACACTTCCTCCATGCCTTGGCCCTCCTTCTCCTTCATCCCACCGTGCTGCTCTGCCTGGTCCCCCTGCATCCATTTCTCTTCCATCTATCGCATCCCCCTCCTCCTCTTCCACTTCAAATGTAGCACCATCCACCAAGGTGTGGGTTCTCCTTCTCCGTCCTCGCTCTGGCAGAGGGGAAATCCCAGCTGCTGGCAATCCCTGGGGAGAGGAGAGAAAGAAAAATGGTAAAGGGAAAGAAACAGGTAGGGAGGAAAGCAGATTAAAGCAGGCAGTTATAAATGAGAAAGGGGAGGAAGAAGCATTGGAAACAGGGATGAAGTTTTATAGTTTTGTACTTTATTGATGGTTGTTAGTTGTACTAAATCTATAAGCAGAACTCACTGGTGGTCCTGGAGGTCCTGCAGGCCCAGTGTCTCCTCTGGGACCAATTGGACCCTAAATGCACACAGAGCAAAGGGATTAATTTAGGGCAGTAGAGAGGTATGAGGCTCCAAAGTGACTAATTCAATCCAATGAAACAGTGAGCATCACAGTTACCTGGTTTCCTTTTGAGCCCTTTAAACCAATAGCACCCTGTGAGAGAGGTAAAGAGTTAAAAGTTAAGACACACAAGATAAACAATGTCCCAGTAATCCCAATGCTAACAAGGGTGATTCATTTTTGCATGTACTGTCAGGATTATCTTGTATACTCACAGACAGACCCGTGGGGCCAAGGGGACCGTGAGGACCTGGTGAACCAAGCGGACCCTGACATTAACATAAAAGACATGAAACTGTCAGATTAAGAAAACAAGTAGATCTGCTGGAGGTAACTACTACAAATTCATTGCTGTTTTTGATCTTTTTATGGGATGTGATGCCAATTAGAAAAATATGGAATACATTGCCAGCCTTGTCCTTTTAAAGATGGACAACATTCAGTTACCTTGGGTGTTTGCTGTGTGTCAAAGTGCATGTTCAGGTGGGAACACTATATAAATCAAATTATACTTACTACACTAATAAAGTCCAATCATGCTCACTCAACCTTAAAAAGTGTCACCTGAAAGGTTTTGACAATGTCTCAGCTGTTTTATTTTAGCTAAACCATGCTAATCAGAGCTGTATGAGAAACTACAGTATGTGTGACATATGACATTGTTCAAATGACTGTAAAAATGTAATTACTTTGGTGTGTATTATTAAAATACAATATACAGTAATACAGTACTGTAAATAAAATATAGTTCACTATGGTTCAAATTATAATCAAGCTATAGCCTAAATATATATATAAACACTGTAAGCAAAGTACTTGATTATTTAATTGTTTTTGATCCATGTAATTAAACTGGAGCAATACAGATCCAATGCCTTTTAATTTTATTAACTTACTGACCATATGCATATTTTTGAGTACCTTGATTTTTACCAGTGCAATTATGGCTCATAAACCAATTTAGTGTGAATGTGTTGCTTTACATTAATGTAATGAATTCTGTTTATGTTTTATCCTTTACCAAAAACATACTGAACAATGTAACTGAATTTAGCATACATTTACACACCTAACAATTTTTTTCATCAACCAGGTCTTATATAAGTGTTTCTTTTTTATATAGAATTGTGGTGGATGTACTTTTAGTGTTGTTATATTGTTTCTGCTTTATGTGCTCAAGTGCAATTGAATATAATAATTCATTGGTTTATTTCACTTAGGTTCTACTTACCTGTAATTAATTATTGACAGGGGCAGGGTCTGATTGTGACTTGTAATGTAATGTGCAATGTAACGTAAATGTATGGTGCGGACTGTATGATGTATGTGAATGTAAAGTCCAAATGTGTTACTGTTGCTTACTGCAGCCTCATGCGGCACTGATGCCCAAGACAAATTTCCCTTCGGGGACAATAAATTTGATCTTGTCTTATCTTATAATGACAGTGCCCACAAACCAATTAACACAGGGCAAACCCGCGGACAAATTGGTAATCCAGGCTTGTGCGTATGTGTTTGTGTATATTTTCAGCACCTCATCTCCTTTTGGACCAGGTAGTCCCTGGTTTCCTGGCAGTCCTCTGTCGCCTTTCTCTCCCATGTCTCCTGGTGGCCCTATCAGACCTATTAGACCACCATGACCCTGCGATATGCAGCGATATCACAAATCAGCTGAAGTTCAAAGTCAGGTCAAGTTCAGAGTGAATGTTTATTTATGTACAGTATGCACGCACCTTGTCTCCCTTCTTGCCATGGTCTCCTTTCAGTCCAGGTAATCCCGGTGGACCCTGAGAAGATGAAGTTAGGATGATGTCAAATAAAAGCTGAAGTGTAGCAAGTGCATATAAAAACTTGCTTTACTTGAGTGTTCTGATCATACTGTCCCTAAACTATCAATAAAATAATAATTTTCATTTCTAATAGTATTTCTCCATTATGTGCTTGCTTTGATGAGTCATCTTACCATGGGACCTGGGGGTCCTGTCTGGCCTGGGGGTCCATTTAAACCCTGCTCACCCTGAGAGAAAGATACACAGAAATAAATTAACCTCCATCTTTTTTATGCTCCACTTCCACTGCTTCATTCTTCACCCTGTGACTTACTGCAGGGCCAGGGATCCCTCTTAAACCTTGAGGCCCAGGTTTCCCAGGGTGACCCTGGGCACCTACAGGCCCTGTCTTGCCTATGGGACCCTCCAAACCGGGAGCACCCTGAAACAGACAGAGAATAGGGTGACCTTCAGAAGCTGTGAGCATTCAGATGTTATTAATCAGTTGTTTGTAACGCTCACCTTCGCTCCTTTCAGGCCTGCCTTTCCTTCCTTCCCTTGTTTTCCCAAGTGGCCCTGAAGAGCAGCATTTTATAACATTGAATAAAACTTTCTGACATAAAGATGCACTGATGCACAAACACACACAGTGACAATGCACTGAGAAAAATACCTTCAACCTCATTCTAACAGAGGAAGATGTTTAATCTATTACTTAATCAAACATGGGGTAGAAAATTAGTGAGTGCATCAGAGGTCCCTGCAGGCACTGACACATTAACACAAAAACACACAAACCCTTCGCCCAGGAGGTCCAGGTGGTCCAGGTTCTCCTGCCGCACCTGGTGGTCCCTGAGCAATATAAAGAAAACTAATTATAAGGCCAGTCATTGCATTGTATGATGACAGCATCTTTTATGTTTATGAATTACTGAATGTCATGGTGTATGAAGGTAGGAGCTCACAGATTTCCCAGGGTCTCCTATGTCTCCTTTGGACCCGGGCAGACCATCCACACCCTGATGAGTGGCAAAAAAAATAGTGGGCACAGGAAAACTACATTCTTCTGCACCAGAAAATAAAGCTGAGGTTGTCTTTATGGCAATATGGAATAATTTAATGTAGAAAGAGCAATAACAAAGGGGCCGATGATTCAAACAAACTAGACAATATGTGATGATGTTTGACCCAATTGACAAAAAAAAAAAACATCCTTCATGAGGATACAGTTGGTACTGATATAAAAACTCAACTCCACACATTAGGCTTTTTTAACTACACTTTTCAAAGTTGCTATGCATTGGGAATTGAAATGCAAAATAATATTATTTGATATTCTATTATTTTATATTTTTATAATAATATAATCATTTCTTACTCAATTTCCAGATGTAAATGTACCAGTTCTTAAATGAGCATGAGAATTTTGTCTTCGCTCCAAATTATGTTTAATGTACGATTCTACATATTGATCTTTGATTTGAATGTAATTTCAATGTTTGACTTTCCTTAAGTATAGGCTTTGTTTGACTATGTTTATGTTACGTAGCAAATTGTTCTTTTAAATACAATGCAAGTCACATAGACAAAAACCAAGGAAATGTGTTTAATCCCAGAAAGATCTGCTTTTGCTATTGCATTGGACAAGATGGTTCCATAACTGCCAAAATTTTTAATTACAGATGCAGAAGAAGTAAAAGAGGAAGATGATCAGAAAAAGCAGGCACTCACATTGGGTCCAGCCTCTCCCTGTTGTCCAAGGTCTCCCGTGAGACCTATAGGACCCTGAGGAGAGAGAGAGAGTTTGAGCTAGTACAGAAGTATACTGGATAGCACAGAATAATGGGCTATAAATGTGTTTTGAATGATATACTGTCCTACAAAGCCAGAGGACAGTGACTACAGAAGCAGTGAAGTGTGATAGATAGAAAAGTTGTATTGCCTTTATTTATGCCTTTTTAGGCTGATCATTTTCAATGCCATAAAGCCTACATAACATATAAATGCTGATACTGCACTTTGCCTTTGGATAATGTTCATGGAATTCAAAAGGGAAATGCAGTACTACCAGCAAATGCCCGGTGGGCCAACAGGTGTTTATTTATTTATTTAACTGTTTTAAAAAATGGGCCAACGACCGGCCCATAAAGCATGGACAGTGGCCCGTTGGGTCATTTTCTATACTGACACTGGGCTGGCCCAATCGCATCTCTAACTGTGTGTGGAGGAGGTGTGATGTAGCGAAGCAGAGTGACAGAGTGGCAGGGCCGAGGGACAGAGAGAGCAGTTTGAAATGGCAGATGTTGTCTCCAACAATTTTTAAAGCATTTGTTAAAAATGTTAAAAATTAAGAAATATTAATTAACAAATGAATGCTATAAGAAAAGTTTATTTGCACCTGCAATGCATTATAAATATAGAAGAAACATCTGGGTTGTCCAAAAAAATTAACTTAAGCTAAAAAAATAAGCTACTGATTATTGCATTATATTCTATTATATTTTATATTCTGAATTGTCACCTGCCACATGAATTTCGTGTTTCCCTCTATATATATAAAGACATTTCCACCATAAATTGGTGCAGAAAATCCCCCATATACGATCCCCCAATCGTATATTTCACCAATAAATATTTTTTCTAGATAGTATTAAAGTACTTAAAATACTGTCTTGTTCTCATGACCCCAATCTTGTGCAATGTCACGTCTCGTGGGCTAAGTGTTTCGTCAGACCCCTAATCTGAGCCCTTAAATGTCCTCACCACTTTTCAACACAAAGTGATGTGTGTACCATGCCATAGAGACAATGTTAAGGTCAATGATCATAACACTATCATAAAGTGAGACTTTCACCCACTGCTGTCATACAGCTGTGCATAAGCTATTTGACATTGTTTTTGTAGCTAGCATAGTTTCCTAATGTAGTCTTAACTTTGGCAAACTGTCCTAATGGCTGAGATGAAGTTAATTTGTCAGTATGGCGTTGGCTAAACCCACGCTGCTGTGAAAATGATTGTAGGCTTTTTGTACTTGAGTATGAGTTGTGGCCACCTCTGGCCAACCAGCTGAGTGGCACCACTCATTGTCATTGGTTTAGGGAGTATTACATTAGGGAATACATAGGGCTGGACGATTTGGCCTAAAATCATAATCACGATTAATTGAACATTTTACATCGATTACGATTAATGAATGATTATTTTGTTTTTGATTGTTGTTGTTTATTTGGGTTTTTTGCCCTCATAGTTCACTGACAAGGTTTTTACTGTAAATATGCTCAACTCTTAATGCTGGGTTTACTTTTTCAAATTAACAAATAAAGAACTAAAAAATCGATTTTGTTGACATGCACATATCAAGATATTCTACTACAGTTAACCATTTTCACCCACACACTGTGCGCGCAAAGTAACACTCAACGCTTTGCTAGCTTCCTCTTCTCAATCATCAAAGGATATCTACATGACAGGTGCTGTTATAAGAGCAGCGGAGGTAACATCATTAGGTCCTTTTTAATAGCAGTGCAATGTGTGTGCTGTTAGTGAGAGGGTGAGCGAATCAGAGAGAGATAGAGCCGCAGACAGTGACGGTGAAAGCGAGCGAGTAAATTGTCAATCTGGCAGTTAATCTGCAGTGTAGGTCACAGTGTGTAAATTAATACAACAAATGTCAACAAATGTCTGTTGTTTCCCCAGCTGTTGGAAAGTGAAGGAAGTTAGCACTAGCTAGCATCTCCCGGAGATGACTCTGGTCTGGAAGCTGAGCAGGATTGGAGGGGGTTGAGTCATGTGAATACACAGGCAGTAGTATGTTTTAAGGGGAAAAATTAACAGGATTAAATAACCGACATGGGAAAATTACATTGGCTAGAAGCTCTGAATTTCGGTTTAGATTACTTTTCAATTAATTGTCCAGCCCTAGCATGTTATATGGAAGCATGGTGTATTGGTGAGGAGTGTCCAACCGATTTTGGTGGGCCGCCTGGGCCAAAAATGCCAGGGCCGATTTTCTGTCCTCTGTTGACCAGATTACCAGTCCAGCCCTGTTGCTGGAGCTACAGCCTCATTTACTTGTGTAGCACACCAAACTCAACTACCAAGACGTCAGTTCCTCAAAATTTATATTTTTCAGCAATGGAAAAATCTAGTAAATGTAGTTTAACTTTTGATGAGACTAGAAGACGCTACCGCCGCAGCTAGCTTTCACTTGAAATATGTAACTTTCTTTCTTCAGCTGTTTAGTACACAATAGCTCTGTGGTAGACAGAGCAATTAGTGCAACAGCAGCTTCTAGACAGATTCCTATAGAAGCCAGAGTACTGCAGCATGGGCAGCCACAAATCCAGAATTTATATGTTTATTGCTTTGTGTCGCAATGTATTGTACAGTATACATTGCTGGTCATATAATTAGAATATCATCAAAAAGTTGATTTATTTCAGTAATTCCATTCAAAAAGTGAAACTTGGATATTATATTCATTCATTACACACAGACTGATATATTTCAAATGTTTATTTCATTTAATTGTGATGATTAAAACTGACAACTAATGAAAATCCCAAATTCAGTATCTCCAAAAATTATTAAATTACTAAGACCAATACAAAAAAAGGATTTTTAGAAACGTTGGCCAACTGAAAAGTATGAGCATGTACAGAACTCAATACTTAGTTGGGGCCCTTTTGCCTGAATTACTGCAGCAATGCGGCGTGGCATGGAGTCGATCAGTCTGTGGCACGGCTCAGGTGTTATGAGAGCCCAGGTTGCTCTGATAGTGGCCTTCAGCTCTTCTGCATTGTTGGGTCTGGCGTATCGCATCTTCCTCTTCACAATACCACATAGATTTTCTATAGGTTTAAGGTCAGGCGAGTTTGCTGGCCAATTAAGAACAGGGATACCATGGTCCTTAAACCAGGTACTGGTAGCTTTGGCACTGTGTGCAGGTGCCAAGTCCTGTTGGAAAATGAAATCTGCATCTCCATAAAGTTGGTCAGCAGCAGGAAGCATGAAGTGCTCTAAAACTTCCTGGTAGACGGCTGCGTTGACCTTGGACCTCAGAAAACACAGTGGACCAACACCAGCAGATGACATGGCACCCCAAACCATCACTGACTGTGGAAACTTTACACTGGACTTCAAGCAACGTGGATTCTGTGCCTCTCCTCTCTTCCTCCAGACTCTGGGACCTTGATTTCCAAAGGAAATGCAAAATTTACTTTCATCAGAGAACATAACTTTGGACCACTCAGCAGCAGTCCAGTCCTTTTTGTCTTTAGCCCAAGCGAGACGCTTCTGACGCTGTGTCTTGTTCAAGAGTGGCTTGACACAAGGAATGCGACAGCTGAAACCCATGTCTTCCATACGTCTGTGCGTGGTGGTTCTTGAAGCACTGACTCCAGCTGCAGTCCACTCTTTGTGAATCTCCCCACATTTTTGAATGGGTTTTGTTTCACAATCCTCTCCAGGGTGCGGTTATCCCTATTGCTTGTACACTTTTTCTACTACATCTTTTCCTTCCCTTCGCCTCTCTATTAATGTGCTTGGACACAGAGCTCTGTGAACAGCCAGCCTCTTCAGCAATGACCTTTTGTGTCTTGCCCTCCTTGTGCAAGGTGTCAATGGTCGTCTTTTGGACAGCTGTCAAGTCAGCAGTCTTCCCCATGATTGTGTAGCCTACAGAACTGGACTGAGAGACCATTTAAAGGCCTTTGCAGGTGTTTTGAGTTAATTAGCTGATTAGAGTGTGGCACCAGGTGTCTTCAATATTGAACCTTTTCACAATATTCTAATTTTCTGAGATACTGATTTTGGGGTTTTCATAGTTGTCAGTTATAATCATCAAAGTAAGAGGAATGAACACTTGAAATATATCAGTCTGTGTGGAATGAATGTATATATTATACAAGTTTCACTTTTTGAATGGAATTACTGAAATAAATCAACTTTTTGATGATATTCTAATTATATGACCAGCACCTGTACCAACGGTACAGTATTTAAGAGTTTATTAGAATGATTGTTTCTCACAGCATTGCCCTTGGCTCCATCCTCTCCTGCGGTGCCCCTGGCTCCTGGGGGACCAGCTGCTCCTGAAGGGCCCGTATCTCCCTTCTCCCCCTGGTCTCCTTTTCCTCCCTAAAGTACCAAAGGAGCAGAGTGAGCGATAAGATGGCTGGGGCAAAGGAGAAGAGCAAGAAACTTCAAAAACGAAGATAGATGGAGAAAATTTGAAGATGCCTTTGATCATCTTTTGACCCCCCAAAAATCAAACAAACTCACTAGCCTTCCTGGAACACCAACTGAACCAGGGTCACCTGCTTCGCCATCCTCCCCCTTAGAGAGAAAGAAATTATGTGTAAGAGACAATTTGTTATGGAAGGAGCGTTGTCATGCAATGTGTATGCAAAATATATGAGTTAATTTCTTTACCTTCTCTCCAACAATACCTGGTTGTCCTACCATCCCGGGTCGACCAGTCGGACCCTGCACAACACAGAGATCACAGTTTTTCTTCAGAATTCAATGCAAGTGCTCAAATAAAAGATAATGCATTCATATTACTGTGAGACTTACCTGTCCCCCAACAGGTCCTTGAGGACCATTAGGGCCTTGTTGACCAGGTGGACCCTACAACCAGGTTATGTAACATGGGAGAAATAACAGCAGTTTATTCATTTGTGTAACAAAGGAAAATGTGATGTAAATAAGGGACTAAACTGGAATAAAGCTCACCATTAGTCCCACATGGCCACTCTCACCCTTCTCTCCTGGTAGACCGGGCATGCCCTTGAAAACCAAACATGGGATTAGAGGATTAAAGTGAAGAGCTCCAAGTTCACTCCAAGATATTGCTTCAATGATCTGCACCGTGACTGCTATACAAATCTCACCTGTAATCCTATTGGTCCTTTAAGGCCCTTAAAGCCACGGAGACCCTCATCTCCTTTCGGACCGTACATGCCCTGCTGGCCCCGGGGACCCAGTAGTCCATCTAGACCCTGGTACACAGAGGAGAGTGAACAGTGAACGTCTTTATGACTTAAAATGATAATGAAGTATTGTTAAAAATTATGTTTTTATATGTTGGACTTTTTGGTTACAACTCCTCAGGCCATTGCTTTAAACAATGGTTCAATGTTTTGAGAAACACATTTATTTGCTTTCTTACAGCAGGAGGTTACATGTACACAGAGGAGAGTGAACAGTGAACGTCTTTATGACTTAAAATGATAATGAAGTATTGTTAAAAATTATGTTTTTATATGTTGGACTTTTTGGTTACAACTCCTCAGGCCATTGCTTTAAACAATGGTTCAATGTTTTGAGAAACACATTTATTTGCTTTCTTACAACAGGAGGTTACATGAAAAGATTGATGTCAATCTAATGTCTGTAAGGTAAACATTGAGCTATAGCCAGACGCTGGTAAACTTAGCTTAGCTTAACACAAAGACTGGCAATAGGGGAAAACAGCTAGCCTGGGTCTGTCTAACTGTAACAAAAGCACTTAAGAGAGCTCATTTTTATTTTATTCTGTATCTTGTTTGTTAAATCCATACAAAAAACTAAATGTAAAAATGACAGGTTATGGTACTACGGGGTATTATGTGTGCTCCCCTATTTCTTGGCCAGGCGAAGTGACTTGCTATACTCTCTGTGGGTTACATGGCTAACTCATGATCACAATTACCTCAAAACCTCTAAAACCACAAAACCAACTAAGTTACAACGTGTTAATACATGGGCTTTCCAGGTGCAAGGTTATGCTAAGCTAAGCTAAACACTCAACAAGATAGCAAATAAGCATAGTTTTCAAAAAAATGTCATTATTCCTTTAACATATTAAAGTGTCATGAGTCCTAAAATCCTCCTGACCCAAGATAAACATTAACGCAAGAGTTATAAAAGCCAGAAACAATGAGATAGCATCTAACTAGGTTTTCTCTAGGTTTTTATAATTTCGCGATTTGAAGTCTTGAACAGAGATAAACATAATACAAACATTAGAGCAGACTCACCGGAAGTCCTGGCTGACCAATTACCCCTTGAGTACCAGTGGGGCCTGCGGGGCCCTGTGGGGGTAGAGAGAGAAATTATCTTGATCACATCTACTCTTGTTATGAAGAACAGTCCATGTTGATGTACTTCTCCAGCTTCAGACTTACTGATTCCCCTTTGTCTCCTTTGCTGCCTTTCTGCCCTGGTTCTCCTTGCTCTCCCTGTGGACACGCACACACACACACACACACACACACACACACACACACACACACACACACACGGAGGACACAATTTATTGCCACAGGACAGACATACAACTCTCTCTACCTCTGAATCACACACAACAGTTTACCTTATCCCCATCATCTCCTGAAGGTCCTGCAGGGCCCGTAACCCCAGGCATCCCTACATGTCCCTGATCTCCATCCTGACCTGCTGGTCCAATTGGTCCCTTCTCTCCCTGGAACACAAACACATTCAACATGTGTTATTCTGCATAATACATAATAAAAGAACTACTAAATACAGTTTGTAGAAAAAAGGAATTAGATGTAATTACTGGCTCGCCCTTCTCTCCCATTGGTCCAGGTCCTCCGATTGATCCGGCCCGACCAGGCTGTCCAATGGCACCTGCTGGTCCTGGAGGGCCCCTCTCACCCGTCGCCCCCTACAGACAAGACATGATGGTCTTTGAACTACTTGGAAATTAAAAGTACTGAGGTACTGAAAGAAAAGGATGCATAAAAACTGCTGGAATCATAATGGTTGTTTGATAGTTAATTACATAGTAAATTGATAGTAAATTACAATTTACATGTGAATTGTTTAGTGGAAATCAGGTGATCATGGCCTCATTGAACTTAAGTATTGCACTGAAAATGTTCACAAGTACAAAGACATTTGCTTTCAATTCGTAAACAAAAAAACAATTTAGAAGGCATCCTACACATGAACTGTAGTAACAAAAGAGATGTTTTGTAACTCACTATGGCTCCTTGGGATCCAGTAGGTCCTGATCCTCCTTTCAGACCAGGAGGTCCCTGGAAAGATCAAATAATTTGTACTATGTAGCTTATATAATTTATAATATTAATAAATCAAGTAAGTGTGGTGTGTGTGTATTTTTGTGATTGTGTGTTACCATAATTCCAGGGGCTCCTCTGCTCCCTCTGAACCCTTTCAGTCCTGTGGGACCACTCTTCCCAGGTGTCCCATGGAAACCTGGATCACCCTGAGTGAAACAAAAATCATTGTACAATCAAAACACAAATGATCACTCTATGAGATGATGATTATCAGTATTTGTGTGTGAGTGAATGTGCGGACCCACCTTTCCACCTTCCTTCCCAGCAGTCCCAGGCAAACCATGCTCTCCAGGTACACCTGGGGCCCCTGGGTGACCACGGTCCCCTGTTGGACCAGGTTCACCTGATTTGCCCTGAGGCACACATGTGATTGGGTCAATGACATGAATACAGACATGAAGTACAAGAAAATCCATTCACATTGTTGAGCTCACCTGTGGCCCCACAACACCTGAGGGTCCTGGAGGTCCCGTCTTCCCTTGGAATCCCTGCAGTCACAGAAAAAGATGGGTAGAAAACATATTCTGGTGTGTGTGTGTGTGTGTGTGTGTGTGTGTGTGTGTGTGTGTGTGTGTGTGTGTGTGTGTGTGTGTGTGGTCAAGACAATTTCTCAAAGAAAAAAATGCAGCAACTGATGAACTTTTATGAAATGTGACCTCACTCACCGGCTCTCCTCTTTGACCTGGGTGACCTGGAAGTCCATCCTTTCCAGAAGGACCCTACACACACACACACACACACACACACACAGAACCACACAGACACATAAACCAAGACCAAGGTGAGAAATTAATGTGAGGTCAGGATATAAACTTGCCTACCAAGTTCATGTAATGTCCATCATGTTAAAGAGGAGGGGCAAAAAAATGGTCTGAACAGTCATAAGAACTTTTTTTACATTTCACCCTCCTTGCATTCTGACTGTCCCCTGTAGGCCACTGTGAATGATTCATATCAGCATATTACTAGAATTTAATTCCAGTGCATTCTCAGTCACAAACAATTTTATCATCAGAGACTTGTGAACATCCCTTGGACCGTAAAGATCTGATACTCATACTCAGTGGTCAAAGTCATTTGTTTGCTAACATGTGTGTATTTGGAAGATTGTGTTTTCAATGTGAAGGCTTTTAGATGACTCTTGTTCTTATTTTGCTATGTATATAACATTGAGATTTTAGGCAACAACAACTGGGTAGAGTGTAGCAACTGGTGTCCCTATGTTTGAAAAAATCCCTGCAGAAGAGCCCTCCTGGATGCCCCTATGGTAGATAAAATGTGGTAAGTGCCCTCTAGGGTGCCCTTCCAGTGGAGGACATGTAATGCACTGCTTTTTTACCATTTACATTTACTCATTTGGCAGATGCTTTTATCCAAAGAGACTTACATTTGAGGAACAACATACAATCATCAACAGAGCATCAAATACAGCACAAGATCAAAAATGCATCATGCATCATGACTTTCTGCGTGCTGGTGCCCCCCTGCATGAAGTTGGTGGTGGAATAAATATTTATTCTAATACACACAATTACAAATAAAGATTATGACTAATGAATCAATTCTGAATTTGTGTTTATGCGTGAATGTGTCTTTTTGTCACAACTCACACTTGCTCCCTTAGGTCCTGGCTCTCCATTCCTTCCCTGCGGCCCTTGAGGTCCCTAAAAAACATAACCACCCAATATAAAAAGCAAGCAATCAAATGATCAATACATTAATAACATATATTAACAGTGTTTTTCTTACCCTCTCTCCAGGAGATCCTGGGACGCCATCATGTCCAGAGGCACCCTGTTAAAATGTAAGCAGGAAGAAGAACATGGAGGAAGTGATGGATAGAAGTTGGTGAAGCACAGCTAATAGTGTATGTGATTTCACCCCAATGACTGATTGGCTGAGAGAAGAGTCAGCAGACCTTTTCTCCTGATTTTCCCGTAGGCCCTTTTGCCCCTCTGGCACCTCGTGCACCCTGCCATAGAAGAAACATGAGTGAGACCTAGCTGTAAATGCGCTACTGACATATTATGCACTTTCAGTAAATATGGCAAACCTGTTAGCAAACAGTTTCCTATTTACATATCCAAGAGTAAAGTATTAGTTTTCGTTTCTGGCCCCTCACAACGTCCAACATTCATTCTCTTTTAGTTCTGTTTTTGGTCTCCACCAACTCCGGTGTAGTGTAGTGATGTTACTCCATATTCCTCAAGTATGTTGATAACTAAAATGGTTCCCCACTGCTATACTGTACATTCAATTTGAACATCAGGCCATTTTAATCAAAATCGTTTCTGAATGCTAAAGGCTTGTGATAGCTCTTTGTTCAAATTGACTTTCTAAAGGAAAACCCTTAAGAGAAGATATCAGGGACAGGGGGCAGGTGTTAAGCGCTCTCTGTCTAATCACCTGAGTTACCAGTTTGAAAAGTACATTCTGACATTAGGGTGCTCTTGATTTTCTAGCAGTAGAATATCTTTTTCAAATAAATCTCACTTTCTGTGCAATTAATTCCCAACTGAACTAGAGAATGTTTTGAGACACAGCACTCACATTTGGACCCCTCTGGCCTGCGCCTCCTGGTTGTCCGACAGGTCCCTGGGTAAAACCACAAAAGACAGAACATTAATGGAATTGTGGTTTCCTGAAATAATATTGTCATGATTTTAAACCCTGTACTCACTTTTTTCCCTTTCTCTCCTGCAGCTCCCAGTGCACCAGGAAATCCTTCAGAACCCTGGGGAGGATGAAGATACGTTCAATTTATACAAATTATATATACTACATGAGGTAACCTGTTCTACATTCATGTAATCAATCATTGATTATTTATTTTACCTTCGGTCCCTGGCGCCCAGTATATCCTGGCAGACCAGGAACTCCCAGTTTCCCCTTAAAAAAGAGAAATAGTTTGACTCTTAACTCATCTTGTATAGGTTTTTGTTCAAGATGACAACAATATTTACTGATATTTTGATCAATGTTGATTAGCCTTCTAAATGCTAACTTAGCTCTGTACCTTCTCTCCAGAAATACCAAGAAGGCCAGCCTCTCCTTGAGGACCCAACTGGCCTTTGGGCCCCTCAGGCCCATCTTCTCCTCGTCCACCTGGAAGTCCGTTGTCTCCAACGTCCCCTTTTGCTCCCATTTCCCCTTTTGCCCCAGGGAAACCATCCTCTCCCTGCAGACAGAATGAATTGGAGGAGACAGCAAGACAGTCCAGTTTAACAGACATAAAACCCTAGTTGATAATGAAAAACAGCATGCATCTTGATCTGTGGAGGTAATATGATCTTTTCAGTCAACAAAACATTCTGAATGTGTACAGACTCTGCCACTTCTCTGTCTCTCTCACCTTTTCGCCTTTGCTTCCCTTTAATCCTCTGATTCCATCTGCTCCCTGTCAAACAGCAAAGAAAAAACACACTGGAAGTCAACAAGAAAAATACCTATACACATATAATATAACTTCAAATTGCTTGCATGCTGTCCCATTAAATTTGATTGGCTGGCAGCGAAAATCATAATCATCTTATTTCTTTGGCTACAAGATGATAAGGTAGTGAAAACCTTTCAGCTGTAAAAAAATAAATAAATAAATACTGTTATTCTTTTAATTTATTGAATGGGGTTTCAAAAGATTTCCTCAACCAATTGAGGACCATGAAATTCATTAGATGACGTTAAAGTCAGTGAATCTGTAATACAAGGTTTGTACACCATAGCAGGAATACCTTAACTCCTCGTTGTCCAGGGTATCCAACAGGCCCCTGCACACCTAGAGGACCCTACAAATGAAAACACACATTAAAGGAACAATCTGGGAAATATGTTTATTCGTTCTCTTGAGAGTTAGATGAGAGAACTGATGCCACTCTGATATCGGTCTGTTGAATATGAAGCTACAGCCAGATACCTGTTATCTTAGCTTGGGACAAAGACTGGAAATAAGAGAAAAGAGTTAGCCTGGCTCTGTGAAAAAGGTAACAAAATCCGCCTACCAGCTTCTCGAAAACACATTAATCCGTTTTATTTAATTTGCAAAAAAAAAAAAGTGTAAATCACAAGTTGTGAGCTGGGAGCACATGGCAAGAAAACAATTACATACTTCCCAAAATGTCAAACTATTACTTTAAGTCAACTGTAACTACAGCAACACATTATACATGCATTGTACACAGACACAGATACATGCATACAACAGACTCACCGGCAGTCCTTTTTCACCTGGAGTACCTTCTCTTCCAGGGTGACCCTATTGACAAGAGGACATATTCTGTAGTTAGGCATGTAGCTATGATGTTAAGTTAAGGATTAGGGACTAGGAAATGTATTGTGTCAATAAGAGTCCTCAGACGTACATGAGTACAAACATGCCTGTACTTACTTGGGGCCCGTCGTTTCCAGGTAAGCCCTGCATCCCTTTCTTCCCTTGAGGCCCCTGAGGTGACAAAGATCAGTTAATTGGTCGCAACTCCTTCACCCCAAAGTAAAAAATCTAACTACAAGGGTCTTACCTTCTCTCCTGGCAGCCCTACTAACCCCTGAGCACCAGGAAAACCCTGTAGGAGAGATGGAGCATGTGGATTTTTGTGTATGCACATATGACATTTTTTTTGTTAGTAACTGCTCTCTGCTTGTACCAGGATTCCAGGGTTGCCTTGCTGTCCGGGTGCTCCGATTTCTCCTGGGGATCCCTGTTACAAACACAAAACAATGTCATGGGAAGTATTTTGCTATCAGGATCTACTGTCTACTACCATTATTACACTCACTATGTTTCCCTTTGAACCTTGAACCCCATCAATTCCTCGAATGCCCTGTGAGGAGAGAAAGGAAGACTGTTAAGGGAGGGGACTTATTTTTTTTCTGGTTTTTAAAAGCGCCTCCAAGCCTCCAAAGCGCAATGAATTTCCTTTGGACACAGCCAAGCACACTGTTTTCCCCTGTGGCCAGACTTTTAAAAGAAATGCATGTTGTTTTCTTTCAAATTAACCCTTTATTTCTAAAACACATTTTCTTTTCCTGTCTGACTAAAGAATATAGGAGGCTTTCCTAAGGCTTGTTACATGAGACTCCTGGTACAACAACTAAATAAACCAACCAAATCAACCACACTGTTGGTTACGGCTCTAATACCTCCCTGCTTGAGGCGTTTAATGCTTAATTAATTAACACCAACATAAATATGCATTTTAAAAAATCCTTCTTCTGTGTCCTATCAGATGGTAACAAGTGCAAACCTAGTGCAAGTATTGCAAACTAGAAAGAAACAGCTTGAGGTGTTGTACCTGTGTGATGTACCTGGCAGAGAAACAGTCATTTTCTCAGATGAGATAAGAATTACATAACATCATGTTAACAAATGGAAAACTATAGTTACATCATGACTAGGCATTAACGTGATATCATCTGATAGCGACACCACAGTTGGATTTATGTTGGAGGTGAAAAGAGCCTTATTAATGCTGCATGGATAAACACAGAGGAGAGACACCAGGGAGATTACTGATGTCTAATGTCTTTTACTGTTGTCAAGGGTAGAGATTAATGCGTGTGACTGTGAATGTTGTGCATGCGCGCGCGTGTGTATGTGTGTGTGTGTGTGTGTGTGTGTGTGTGTGTGTGTGTGTGTGTGTGCGCGCATACACAGAGGTGGTATGTATGAAAAAGTGTAAATGTCATACTCACAGTCTGACCTGGGGGACCAGGACGACCTCTGGGGCCATTCAGACCTCTGGGACCCTGAAATACACATCAGTTACATTTGATGAAGTATAATTGCATATAATTGAGTATGTGTGCCTTTATACTTCTTTGTGAGGACCAATAAGAATTTTAGATTTTGCAGTAGAGTGAGGACAATTTTGGAAAGTCTGAATATTTTGGCTACTCCTCACTTCTTCAAAGGGCTGTTTAAGGATCAAGGCTTGGTTTTAGGGTTAAGGTAAGTGGCTAGGGAATCTATTATCTTCATATAGAAGTACAGAAGGTATAGTGCATGGGTATCTATTTGTGTGTGGTAGGGTATCTGGCATAGTTAAATTAAAATGTAGTGTTTTAGACTCTTGTGTTGTATATTAGTATATATTGTTCTTGCTGAGAGTTAGATTAAAAGATGCATTCTACTCTCACATCATTATGTTAATGTGTCCCTGAGCAAGACACTTAACCCCTAGTTGAGTCCAGAGGCGTGCAATCTCTGACATATATAGTAAGGCGCTTTGGATAAAAGATACAGCTAAAGGCTGCTAATGTCACCAGCCAGTTAGGGGAAGCAGCTAGCTTGGCTCTGTCCAAGGAAAAAACTGCCTACCAATACCTCCAAAGCGCAATGAATTTCCTTTGGACACAGCCAGGCACACTGTTTTCCCCTGGGTCCAGTCTTTGTGCTATGCTAAGCTCACCATACAAAGTGGTATCAATCTTCTAATCTAAGCGTTGTGGTTGGGCATGTAGTTTAAGGTTAAAGGGTAGGGAAAGCATTCTGAGGTTCCTTATATGTATAGATACACGGTGTGTGTGTCTGTATGTATGCGTTTGAAAAACAGGCATAATTGAATGTATATGTAATTGTGTTTTAGAAAAATGCTACATTAAATAAAATTTTTGTGGATTCAAATTAGTAATTTATTGTATATATTTGTGTTTTTTCATTTAAATTCAATTTTATTTATAAAGCGCCAATTCACCACAACATTATCTCATTGCCGAATTTTTTGATTGTGTGTTGACACTTACAGCATCACCTGGTTGTCCTCTTGGCCCAGCTGGCCCTTCAGAGCCCTGTGAAAAACACAAACACGAAGAAATCCTTCACATACAGAAACACAATCCTGCAAAACATGAATACCAACAGCCACAGTGACTTCTCACCTTTTCTCCTGGCTCTCCAGCAGGACCTGTAGGGCCCGGCTTACCCCTGTCCCCCTGTGAAAATACACACATGGAGGTTGGTTATTGGTATTATGAATTATCTGCTTACCACCACTCACCCATTCAGCCAGACAACTTACCTTGTGTCCTTTGTTTCCAGGGAGACCTGGCAAGCCTTCAAATCCTCTATCCCCCTTGAGAAAAAAGAGACAGATTAGTTCATATTTTAAGAAGTAGGTGAAGATTGAGACCGTGATATCAGTTCTTCTTCACCTTTGCTCCAGCCTCGCCTATTGAACCACGGCCCCCATCTGTACCCGCTTGACCCTTATAAACAAACACAAACAAGTTAGACACATTCCTCAACGACATACTCTAAATGTTTGAGTTAAAGAGAAAAGACTATCACGTGGTCATTGCGTGGAACAACAAGATGACAACAGATTACAGAGAAAAGACTGCAGTAAATAGTCTCACCATTTTTCCGAGTCGTCCGTTCTGGCCCGGGATACCTGGCAGTCCTGGAGGACCCTAAGAAAACAAAAAGTAGAAACAGAGCGGTAGAGTTGGTTCTCAAATGAGTTGCTTGTTATACAGTCTGTTGCCGTGACAACCAGTTAACTCACAGGTGGCCCCATGTCTCCAGTGGTCCCCTTTAGCCCAGATGGACCTGGTGCACCCTGGGAAAAAAGTTTACGACAATTAGTTGCCTGCATGTGTGTATACATGTAGTGTATAAATCTACCAATTTGAATTTTCCACTACAGTGAACTTAAGGACCTTTAACTTAAGATGCAACGTTTGTTTCCACTGCTTTGGGAGTGAGTTCCTGAACAACATTTTTGTAACCAAGCACTAACCAGGAGGTGAATGCAACACAGCAAACACCCCAATTAGAAGAAGTTTGTGTGTAAAGAAGTGTGCTAAAACAGGGGATGTTCTGATTCACCTTATCTGACTTGTGTTTTGCTGCCTCGTCATGCATTTGTCGGTCTGAAGTGTCCAGTAATGTTCAGTCTGCGTAAGTATTTTTAAAATCTTGTAATGTTTCTAAGTACCAGAGAAGCATGACCAAATCGCTTTATTGTGCTTAATCTTGAAAAACAAAAACAGATTATTCATCCTTCACATGCACCTCCCCGTCTCCTTATTCAGAAAAAAACAATATGCAGGGATACACACACACCAAACAACAAAATGGCAACATGATGTGATCTCACCCACCAGTGTTCCAGGTCTTCCCCTGAGACCGAGTGGCCCTGGAGGTCCCTTCATAGCCAGCTAGAAGAGGGAGAAGAAGGAGTCAGAAAGCAACACACAAACTGCAGTAGTTGGACATCAGCTCTGTGCGTGTTTAAGAGGTGGTGGTAATATTTCTAAAGTTTGAATACCTTGGTCTGCTGCAGGATGGCCTGAGCCTGCGCCTCCTGTGCAGAAACCCCAGTACCTGTCTTCTGATTACTACCCGACTGGAACTGCACACACACACAAACACACACACACACAGAGACACAGTCAATACCCCCACCTAGTGGCCATAATGTAGTACTGCTATTCAAGTCTTACATTAATAGGATTTAAAAGAAACATCTGAATAACTTACAAGGGGTCTCTGTATGCTTTGATGAATATGAAAATAATGTGAATCATATTTTGTGGCCTTAACAGTGACCAGAAGTCAACCCCCAGTTACTTTTTAAGGAAATCAGTAAAACAAAGGAGTATGTTTGTGTCATTTGACCACAGCTGACTAATTTCACACAAACATTGCAGTAAACAAATAGTATATCCAGTAACATACTGTAGAGCTAAACTGAATGCTTGGTTAAAAATCTGATTGACACCTATAAAGAACACATGTTTTGAAGGGGTTGTGGAAAGCTAGCTGAGGGGAAGGTGATGGCCTTACTTGCAAAGTCAAACAAATTTATGTAACAATCCTGAGGCAGCTCATTTCTCAGTTACGTTGACATTCAAAGGTTCCCATTTACCCCCGGGTTATGTTAAGGGTTAATAGGACCAAATAACTGCCATAGCAACATCAATGCAGCATGTAAGGCCTCAGGCAACACAAAAGTATCTTCATCCTACCGGTATGAGCATGATGTTTCCAGGGGGACCTGGTATCCCATCAGCTCCGTTAAGGCCTGGCCGCCCTGGGGGGCCCTGAGAGGAGACAGAGGGACGCCAGTTACGGAGAGATGCCAACATGTGGTGGACTCTGTTACTCACACAGCAAACAGAGGACAGTCCTCACCAGCTCCCCGGGGTCTCCTCGTGGTCCTACTAGTCCTCTGACTCCAGGAGACCCTGGCTCTCCCTTCACACACAGACAAAAAACACAAAAAAGGCCAGCTGAGTTTGACGGAACCTATTTAGTTGCAAGCTTCCATTTCCATATTTAAGGTCACTCCAGTTACACCTTTCCCACATGCAAAACAGGTTTTGCCTGAATACTGAAGAAAAATGTGTTTCAGGTTACATGTCGTGCAGGAAAATTTACTAACCTCAGGTCCTGGAGGCCCGTATGGTCCTGTAATCTGCGTTCCCTGAAGAAATTTCACAGAAACAAACCTTTTCTCTGAGGTGTTTGGTTAAATGTAACCATTCATACCAGTGATAACCATTCAATTCAATGCCTCACTTTCTGTTCTGGTACTAGTCCTACACCTAGAGCCTGACTAATCAGGATGATGAGGCTGTTACTAATATTTCTATCAATCAATCTTTATTTATCCCCGTAGGGAAATTAGTTGCAGCACAATCACATAGGCATTTCATCATACGGCACAGAGATAATCAACAGACACACTGATACACAAACCCATACCTCGCACCTTGCTACCTATTAGGCAGGCCAGACGAGCTGAACATCCTGCCCAATATTTGACATTTAGTAATAAATTGTGATATAGTAAATTTTTGTTCATTGTATGAAAGCACTGGTGGCATTTTAATTCATGTGACAAAAAAAATCTTCCTTAAAAGATTATTAATTGAGAAATTGTTAATTGAATGGAAATTATCAGACAGGGATTATTCAACAAATTAAACATCTGAAAAACCAAATGACTTCTTCACATTGATGCAAAAATCATATAAAATTACAATATTGCCATAACAAATTATAATAATAATTGATTTACAACATTGCCCACAATGTTCTAACACAAATAGATATATTAAAAGGATAGTAGCCATGGTATAAATGGACTGGCAAAATCTCTAACTTTAGAAAAACGTATATTGTTTGATGGTAAATTAAATCTGTCAGGTTGTATCTATCCCTTTTTCAACACTTTAAGTTGAGAAGTGTAAACTGATTTTCTACTAAATAATTTTCTTCATTTTAAAAATTATGCAAAACTTCTCTTCACAAGCTGTCTTAAATTATTTTCCAACCCCGCACAAGACGAGTATAGATGAATGAAATATCTGATCAAAGGATAAGCAAACAAGACTAAGAATTTGACCAAGCACTCAATGCCTTTGTTCTGGTACTTGACAGTTTTTGATAATCAGTGCTTTTTCATCTGTATTCAATAAGTTTCGAGGACCAATGTCGCGCCCCTGTGTGGTTGTGTATGTTTTTAAGCCTGTGTGTGTTTTCCTCACCACTCCCAAAAAGCTTGGTTCTCCTTTCTGTCCTTTTTCCGGTATATCCTAAAAGAGGGGATGAATATGGACATATGAACGGCATTCATGTAGATTACAACAAGACAAAGAGGGGTAGTTTTTTACTCTTTATACAGGATTCCTTGTATGTATAACATCACAAACTCTTGGTGTGCGATAGGTTGGATGGTACCTGTGTGTTAAAGGAGTATGCCCGTTCTCTCTCAGCGGGTCGCTCATCAAATTCTTCCTCATATTCATACTCATTCACATGGAAGTAATCTGTTGTGTTGTCATAGTCTTCATACTCTATGATCTGTCCAGCAAACACACAGACAAATAATGAGGGACATAAAAATACAGAGGAAATGAAACACACATAGACACAAAGCCAAGCTCATGTAGCTGTTACTGCTGTCTCACCTCATACTCAGTGACATTGGGCTGTACGTTGACTGTGGAAACAGAGATGTCGTCATAGAGGTCACTGTAGTCAAACTCCTCAAATTCCTCAACCACATGTTTCTTAGGTGTTCTCTCCACCTGAAGACCATAAAACAATCAAACAGATGACACAAAAAAAAACAAAAGCAGACAATGCATGATGTAAGCACATTTGGTCTTTACAAGATGTACAAATCTTGACATGACATCTCATGAAAAAAAACAAGAAATACATGGCACAGCCCACACACAGCTGCAGTTTAGTCTTTGTATTTAGCCTGTGGAAAGTTACTAAATGTCGTACCAGAGAACCAGCATCTCAGACCAAAACAAACCTACCTTACAGCCCACCAGACTCAACTGATAAAATAGTAATTTTACCTCGCTAACCATCGTAAAACACACTTCATTAAAACTGGACAGAAATACAATAAAATCACCAAAATCTTTCCACTGTTCCAACAATCACCAACGTAATCCTTGGGTACAAACGCGCCTGTCAAAGTAGCATATATCCACTAAAAGTGCAACATGATAACATTTTGGAAAGGATTACAAAGATCTTTTTGTTAAACAGTGAGATCCTTTTGGTTTAACCAGAAACAGCCGTTATATCCCTCCTGCTCACCAGCAGCCTCCACTGAAAAAAACAATACTTTTACTACACAGATCATTGTTAAACTGGACAGAAACAAAATAAAACTCACCAAAAACATCTTTATTAGTCTTTCTACTGTTCGAACAATCACCAACTCAAAATAAATCCTTAATTCATGGCGTTAAATGAGAAAATAAACAGCTGTTGTAACGTTCTCCTGAAAGTCATCAGTTTCACAGCAACAGACTCACATGCACTAACATGGCTTCTTCCTGCTGATTGCATTTCTGGTGTTATTAGAATAAACCATGAATCTCTGAGTGTTTTGAGCTGTAAGCCAGATGATAAATCAAACAGCAGCAGCGGAAGACAATTCTTTTCCCAGGAGTGTGGAACACTGGCACAAATAATCTGGCAAAGTTTGCTGGATGACAAAACCATGTAATGTGCTTTAATATGGAGAGCGAAAGAAACAGACAAAGAGAGAAAGTAAGCAAGTAAGAAAGAGAGGACACTAGTAGCTTTTTATGATTTTATTTTAAAGTTGAAGTATAATAAGGACAGCAGGGAAATAAACAACTAGAGGCATCTAAGTAATGCTTTTCTTCAAACTACAACTAGTGGTGACATATTTGTGTGTGTTTGTCTTTGAGAGAAAGAAACAGAGATGTAAATACAATATACACATGCAAATATTTACAGTGTAATGGACTAGCTCTCCATTCAGCAACTGTTTCTGCAGAGCCCACTGTGATCTTTTAATTTATGTTACCCAGAGGGATTTTCTAGTGTACATGTGACTGAAAATGATTAAAACATTCGTCTTTTGCCCAATATGCCTTCTAAACAGTCCATAAATACCTGTAATATTTTTCAGTTGACAGATAAAACCTTGGGGGCTCTGTTACTTTTAAGACAAGAGTCTGAATTTACAACAGTCAACACCTCACAGTGTGTGTTATGAGTGGAATCGGGCAGGTAGACTGAAAGACCCTTCTCACCCGTGGTCTCTCTCTGCCTTCTGTGATTGGTCGTTAAAAGGGGACTTACCTCCTCAGCCTCTGTTAATATGCTGTTGTAGGGCAAAGGTGCATCACAGTCTGGGATGTAATCCTGACAGTATGTCTTTGCTGCTCTGGGGTCATCGACAATCAGCAGCTGCTGGATGTCTCCCTGTGTCACAACAAAACCCCCAACAAAACTGAGCAAATCTGTGTCTCTGCATTAGTGAAACCGTATGATCATTACATGAAGTGACATGATGATGTCATCACTGGTTCTCACTGTGCAATGTGTCATTACTTACATGAATGATATGTCATTTGCATCTGTCTCCCGTGTCTTTTTCTTTGAATGTATGTGTTCATTTAGTCAGATCAAAGTGACTTAACAGGCTGTTTTTATCGTTGCTCTGCAGTTAATCGTCTCCAGAGCTTCACTCTCAAGTGGCGCCAGCACATTAAGTCCACAGACAGGGACAAAATCTTTCTGCCTCTCGCTCTATTTTACACATCCACACACATGTGGATGGGAGTCCAAGCCAAACATGGGAAGGGAGTTGTTCAGTTCAACAGATGGAGCACCTAACATTGCACTGAAAGTTCACACTTAAGTTGGCCTCACACTGCTCAGGACACAACGGAAACAGAGCTCATTAAGATTTGACATAGCTACAAATATTTTTCAGTGTTCATTGTGAATGATTTGCTATGTTAATTTCTACAGTAACTACTGATGAGCTAAGAGATTAAATATTTTATCAGAGGGCATTTACAAGCCCAATTATTTGCCATAAGTTCGACCTTTACATACATTTAAATCATCTGCAGCTTAAGGTTTGGAGCAGATGTGAAAATGCAGTACATCCTCATAACCACTGGAGAGCAGTGTAAGGAGACAAGCCTTTATGTTTATTCATTTGTCACAATTTGATGGAGGAATCAAACAAGCAGCAGCAAGCAGAGGCCCTTCCTTACCACACACAAGGAACTTATTGTGTGTTTTCATTACTTTGTATTTTTTGCCACGTTTTTTTCTGGGGTTTTTTTAACATTTAACAAGGTGGATCGAGGTTCTTACTTTGTGCAACAAAACCACCTGCTTCTTTTGCTTTTAACCCCCTCCATGTCTTGATGAATAGCACGCACAAGCACCTACATACAGTAAAAGCCCACACTCAGAGTCCTACCTCAAACACGTCTTCATCAAGCAGTCGTGTTCCAAACACAGTTACCCCCTCAGTGCTAACGTGGGGTTCATGACCTCGGAGCAGGTCCAGGGTGTCCAGTTTGACACAGTCCAGGTAGAGAGTCACTGCCTGGCCCTCCACACTGTAGGCTACTCTGTGCCACCTGGCAGGAAGGAGAGAAGAAGAAATTAACTTCTGTTCCAACTTTCTTTTATGAAAAGGTTTGTGTCTGAATATGTTCTTAAAATCCTGTGCCAGCCAAATAAGGAAAGGTTTATGTCAAAATTTGAACACAAAAGTGCGTGTATGGGTGCCTGTGTGTGTGTAGTTACCCACTTTCCATCAGCCAGGTTGATCTTTCTAAAAGTAGGGTAAAGTTCTGGAGGTGGCTGACCCTCGTGGTCCTCGTAAAGGAAGACAGGAGAGCGGCCAACTTCCACACCAAGTTGCTGTGTGCCCTGAGACACACGGAGACACAGATTGAAAGGATAAAATGATAATGGAAAAAGGGAAAATTATGTTTTCATGTCAGACAACTAAAAGTATACATTGTCCAGCTAGTGCACTCACGTTAAACTGTTTTTGGTAAATCTTTAACAAAATGTAGCAATGTTGGCAAAAACGAATTCCCATTTTGATAACAACCTGTGATGCTGATCGTATTAGGCGTGACTGCTGCAGACTGCACGGTTGGTAGGGATTTAGTTTTTTGCTCAAGGTCATTCTGGCATGTTAGTATGGTGGATCATTTTGCTGAATTATCAGATTAAAGGAATGTACAAAATGTATGTTGGACACAGTCAAAAGAGAGAACATGCAGAGCGACAGAAAGCAGAGTTGTTAAATATTTAGCATGATGAGTGAAAGGTTGATTTAAACATCCTGATGTGGCGCATACCTGCGAGTCATACAGTGAAAGGAGAAAGACCTGTGAGGCTTTCACAGCTCTAACTGTTGTCATCACAGAGAAATTCATAGGGAATGGCGAATCTGGACAGGATGAACATATACACATTAGGGCAAAAGCTCACATGGACCAAATACATTCATATCCACACTTAATTATTTACTCTATCAGACAAGTCTACACACAGTTAAATTAAAACTTACTAGGGAAGAGTTGCTTGGTGGGCGCGCTCAGTTGAATCTTCTTGTCGATCTTAAAGGAGAGGTCTGTCTCCTCTTGTCCCTCCCTGCTGGTGCACAGTCCAGCCTCCAATGATACACCCTCCATGTCCTCTGACAGCTCCAGGACCTTCAGGACATCAATATGATCGGCTGCAAAGAGACAGGAAACAGAATGATGGAGCAGATCGGTAGATTTGATGATCAGCTGATCTGACCAAACTCATCAGGGCGTTCACCTGGTCAGCACCTTCATTGGTAAGGGTGTCTATTATATGCATAAATTACTTAATTCAAGGTTTAAGCTACTGAAAGAAAAAAGTCAAGGTTTTAGTCCCTTTTGTCCCAAAAGTGACAGCACAAGGAGCAGACATCTGACGTGGTAAAATTTATGATGCAACAGCAAAAAATGGTAATACCTGTGCTTGTTCATGTGTGTGAAAACAAGAGTTTCATTAAGGCTGCTTTGGCCAGCTTTCTGTCCCACCCCAGCTTTACAGAGCTAGCTAGCTAGGTAGCTTTTTACAGAGCGCCTGTGGGAGCATGTTAAGACACAGAAAATAAAGAAACAATATATACTCCCCCACACTTCAAACAGCATGCATTGAAGCAACAAGATACAGTTCAAAGTCAATGAGGAAAATTATATGTTTTAAGTTGCTTATTAAAAATACCACACAGGGAAGATGCCTGGGTGGAACCAAACTATGGAGAAGAAATAAAGGCTTGGATAGAATTTAAAGCATAACCTTTATGATGACAACTGTTTGGGAGATGAGTATCATGTGTATTTGAATGTAAGCATGAGGATAATAATAATAACAGGTAAAAGTACAATACAGTTTACATTAACAATGGATCGAGCACTCTGTAGAGTATTTGCCCCTCTTTTAGCTCAATTTCGGAATTTTCTGACTCTAAACTTTCTGTTAATGTGCAAACCTTTTGTTTTTGTGTGATGTTACCTCTGAGATATGTGGGTGATGCGGGCCCTATAATTAAGCTACCTTGTAAACAAACAAATTAAATACTTCAGTCAGACCACGTGCTCTCTGTCTGGTCTCTCTGTCGTTTCAGTGTCTCTTTCAAGGACACATACTTGTTGCAGAAGCTTAGTGTAATCACGTGATAACGCACATCTTGGCACTGATACGTGGAGAAGTCACAAAACAAAAGTCTAACCAGAGGGCAATAAAGAATACATGTGTTCTGACAATGATTCAGCCCGAACACACAGAGACACACACACAGAAACACAAAAAGCAAATGAGACATTTGGAAATCTAAAGATGCAGCCTGAGCTGTAGCTTATCCAGAAACATATATCATATGCTAGCACACATTCTTTTGAACACTGTGAACACAGTGGTCAGAGATCTGTGAGGTGGATTAAGCAGAAAAAGATGGGATGTAAAAGATGGGACTGGGGGAGGGACAGGAGAGAAATGTGCAGCATGTTGAAAGTAAAAAGGGAGAGAAGGGGGTAAAATACAGGAAATAATAGATGGTAGGGGAGAGGAGAGGAGGGCATGCCTCTACTAGTATGGCTTCTTTTCACACGTATTTCTGGGGCTTACGTAACCCCTCCATCTGCCTCGCACCTTTCAATGTACACACGCAGTCGCAGTCACACACACACACACACACACACACACACACATACACACAAGTACGTGTGTGTGCACACAACAGGTTGGCATAATGTCTGAGTCTGAGTGCCAGATGTATTTGTCACCCATTTTTTTTAGTTTGTCCGTCTGTTTGTCCATCTGCCTGTTTGCCAGCTTGCCTGCTGGCACTCTGTCAGCTTGTAATTCTGCCTGTCATGTGCAGGACATCGTGTTATTTACTGAAACTGCTAATACTGTGCTGTTAAAACATCCAGTGATTTTTTGTTGCTTCATGGGCTGAGAAACGTCTGTAAAAAGTTGACATCCAGGGGATTATTATTGTTTTTATTATTATGGTGCTGTGATTGCCCACTGCAGCTTCAGTGCTGATGATGTCATGCATGACACAAAACATACTCTGAGTGACCAGATAAATAGAAACACCTGCACAGTGTATTGCAATGCAATACACCAGTCCTGCAGTGTGATTACCTTACAGCTAAAAGTTCATTTTTGGTTGTTGAGACTTTTACTAGAGTAGTCATGTTGATTTAATTCTGTGATACAGTGTGTGCATTTTGTGGTGGTGGCGGTGTATTGGCCGGCATTATATTGATATATTTTTGTATGTCTCAGTTACATTAACTATAAGAGCAAATATATTAGAAAAAGATATAATGCAACGACAATGGCAAATCATTTTTGTTTTATGTGAGTTCACCAAATAAAATACCTTTCAGCTAAGCTGAAATGGTGATAAAGTATAGAATCTTGTTTAGGGGGAAATATTGAATTCAACGCATCCAGAATTTAAGTTGGGAATTATAATTTAGTCAAATAAGTTTTTAAGTAATATAGCGCAGAATATCATTGTCATACCAGCTTATTGATAGTACAGACAATTTCTGGTATGTCCTGTATGTAAAATGCTAAAACAGCATTTTAGCCGTTGCACAATTCCTCTTTGATTGAAAAAGGAATAGTTTGTCATTTTGGGAAATATGCTTATTTGCTTTCTTGCCCAGAGTTAGAGAGGAATATCGACACCACTCTAATGTGTGAACTGTAAATATGTGGCTGGGGCCAGAAGCTGATTAGCCTAAGTTAGCATAAAGACTGCAAATAGGGGGAAAGAGCAAGCCTGGTTCTGTCCAAAGGTCACAAATCCATCCACCAGTGTAGATGGATCCATGCATGCATGGATCCATGCATTGCATTGCATTACAATATATAGGGGTGTTAGCATGATTATCTGCCACAAGAGCTCCATCATAATTACACATTAGAGCCATGATTAGACTTTAGGCGACACTGCTCCCAACACTCATAAGCAGCGTGTACAAGAAGAGGGTTTTCAGTCATACATAGCAAGAAATGATGGGCAGCACTGACATCTGAAGGCAACAGAGGACAAGACGAGACATGGAAACTTTGCTCTTACTCTATATGCCCTTAAAGACATCAGGTAATGTTTTCCTATACTGTTGATTCATAGTATGTACAAGCACAAAACAAAATACACATGGTGTGTATGTGTACACACAACACACACACACACACACACACACACACAGTGTATATGATGTGCTGTACATACACAAGAGGATGTTCTGGTCTCCATCAGTTGTTCTTGTTACCCTGAGGCTCTTAACTGTCATGATCGACATGCACACGCATGTCAAATGTAAGCCTCAACATAAAGCACAGTGACAGTAGTTTGAACAGAAAGATCCACAACAGGAATGACCATACAGTAGACAGACAGACAGATAATATAATTATCACATAGAATGTAGATAATTACTTTTTGACTGTACTATTGACTGGGGCCCATCAATTTGAATTTTTATCTTCCAATAGTGATACCGTTACCACGTTAGATTTCATACCAGGGTTCTCTAAATCTAAAATATGTATACCACATTGTGTGGAAAATATTCATGTTTATGTAAGTTATGTTACTGAGTAACTGATGTGGATTGGTCATGTATGGCCAATACCTTTTTAATCTGATTAATGTGTGCATACCAAACTATAGAAGGATCGATGGACAAAGTGTTGAATTTAAAATGTCGGTTAATAAAAAAGTGAAGCAATGAAGTGGAGGCCACTGTTTTTTGTTTTTTTACCTCTGTTTAAGGTTCCACATTTATACCTACAGGACAAACTAGTAAGTGGAGCAGTGAAGCAGACGCAAACAACACACTCACACAGACAATTTAACTGGCACCATATTGCAAAGACTATGGATTTTCTGGAAACCAGATGTGTGTCTGTGTTTGTGTGTGTGTGTTTAAATGTGTTTAAGTGCTTTTTTGTGTACGCACGTGTGTGTGGATGTGTGGATGTGATTAGCCTGTCTTTAACTCAGTAATGGCGAAGAATGCAATAACATGCCTTCTGCAGAAAGAAGAATTAATGTTTAGTCGGACCTCCTACACCACTGCACCAAAATACACACATATACACACACACACACACACACACACAAACAGACATCACACCAGGTTCAAATCCCCCCCCCAAAGGATCTGTCCCAGGAGTCCTTTACCTCTTTTACTCTTTCTTCTGCCCACTCTCTCTTTCTGCTGCTTTTCTCAAATTTCTGACATAGTTCTCCACGGAGACTAAAAGACTAAACCAGGAGAATGATAAAAAAAAAAAAAACGGGGGGAGATGAAAACCAGAAAGAAGAAGAGTCGAGGAGAAAGAGTGCAGAGGGAAGAATAGGATGGAGGGACCATATGTTTTCTTTCCTCCCAGTTCAGCTGGCTCTGATCAAAGGAACACACTGGATATTCTCTCCTGCTGTCTGATACACACACATTAGTCTGTGCATACAGCACACACACACACACACACACACACACACACACACACACACACACACACACACACACACACACACACACACACACACACACACACACGCGTTTACTTAGATGAATCCTTAATATCAGTGACAGAGAAAAGGAATAAGAAGCTGGCAGACAAGCAGACATGTGCTCCTTATCTCCTTCGATCACACACCATCTCAAGTCTCAATATCACAGTCGCAATCTTCTCTCCTCTTCATCCAAATGAACAACGAAGGGTTTCACATACATCCATCCCAACACACAGTCACTCTTCCTCTCAAACACAGATCAAAGACTGCGTCAATATTTGTCAATCACAGGGCTCCAACTCTTCTCGGACAGCTACACATTGCTTTTAGTGGCTCTGTCCTCTGTTATTGTTGGGTGTTGTGTCATACAGTGACTTTGATTTTGGAGAACAAAGAATTAGCTTATTTTCAAGAAAGATGTATAGCACACAGGTCTACTATACACATGATGATCACCAGCAATTTATTTCTGTTTGAAAATTGATAGATCTGCTATAAGTCAGACAAAATGGTGCAAATGGTGACTTTACTTGATCCAAGAAATTCATTTAGATTTAAACACGTGTGTCAAGTCAAGTTTAAACTGATAAAATATTTTTCAAAACAAAGCCCTGACAGTGAATTAAATAATGTTTAATGATGACATGAAACACTGCGCATCACCAGTAAAAGACAGTTCCTGGATATCAAGCCAGCGGGTTCCTCCAACCGAAGAACCAACTTCCACTTACTGAGCAGTCCAGTTATACGACTTGCTCTATGAAAACTTATCACTACATCTCTCATTTAACAGCTTTTATACATATTCAAGTCAGTTCAGTCTCATATTTATACAGACAGTGTTAAACGTGGCTCCAATCAGCTTATTCCCACTGGTGGGTTTTGTTTTTGCCCTACATAAATAAAGATGGCTTTCTGGTTGGGCATGGAAAGACTGAACAGAGACATTACAACAGAATCAACTGTATCTGGTGTAAACAAGAATAAATCTGACTTCAATTATAGCAGAGAACAATATAGAAATAATACTTTGATAAATGGCACTAACAAAGTTTTGTCAAAACAATACTAAGAGTCTACAGCCATGCTTGCAGCTCTGTGAGGCTGTCATAGCGGTGCTATGAATGTAAACATCAGCATGCTAACATACTCACAAACATGCTGATATTTCATCTATGTCTGTTTCCATTACACTTCTTCATATTTTTGTTATATCAATACATCAACTTTTTTGCGTCAGCCATGTGTAAAAACTTTTGTTCAGTACTTTTTGGACCTAGATTTTTGTTCCACACATGTTTTTTTACATTGAAAATGCATGGATGGAAACACACTCACCATTTAGTTAAGCATGCTAGCATTTACTAATTAGCACTCAAAACAAAGTATGGCTAAGGATAATGAATATGTAATCTGTTCTGCAGGTATTTGGTCATTAGCAAGTATTGAAAATATTAAAATTCTGACCTGATGGTGGTCAGGGATGAAGGGATCACCAAAGTTCCCTTCCGTGGTAATCCATCCAAAAGTGGTTTGTCAGTCTGAATCAAGGTGGTGGAACCACAGACCATTTTTATTTCCGAAAATCAATAGAAATGCAACAACATTGTATCTTTGCTAAATAGAGCCTAATCTGGAAGTTGTTTGTGCTCATGGGTTACAAACTGCAGAACACAGCACACTCATAAGCCTTTTTTTCATCCAAACACATTTGGCACCCTAAAATTACACAATGATAACAAAATAAAGGCAAATTGCACCAATGTCTGCAAACTTATAGAGCTAAAACCTTACTTAACTGTTCTCAATGTCTGTTGTGAGGAACATCTTCAGACATTAGGCTGCTCATAAGTGACCTAAAAACCTAATTTAAACAATTCGGCTCAAACCATCAATTGCAAGGACTCCTCTCATCAATCACTGAACAAAAGCATTCCAAATCTATCATTTGAGCAGGCAGCTCCACACATGTTGTTTTGGTAAGTTGAGAGAAGCATTATCCACCTCTGCTACAGCACAACCTGACAAAGAAATGTCACATAAACAGACTTCTGACTTTTCTTTCACATACATCGTCTCTCACGATGCTCCTGGAAACACAGGAGTACGTGAATTGACACAATGATACCTTAATTAATGAATTAATTAAAGAGAGAAAAAAATCTTCAGAGTTTTAAACTTAGCAAAAAATAGAAGCGGACTGTGGGTTGGAAGCAGTTGAGGGATCATTGCAACTGTAGAAAGGAAACTCATGAACTTTTGCACACATTATGCCCTTTTCATGACGCTCTTTGCTAGCAGGTTTATTAGTATGACAGTAAATGTCCAAATTAAGGAGAAAAAGGCTAAAAATGTTGAAACAAGACTTCAACATCTTAGTTTACCATGTTACCATGCTACCATGTTCACCATCTTAGTTTAGCGTGTAAGCATGCTAACATCAAGTACAGCTAAGTTGTTACAATTCATCTTGAACAGAACCAGAATGTATTTGCAAACATTTCATGGCAACCCATCCTACAGTTGTTGAAATATTTCAGTCTGGGCCAAATAAAAGTGGTGGTACGACTCCAACTACTACTGTTGTGCCTCTTTATCGAAATCCCACTCGCTGATGTCACAGCAGGTGTTTCCCATCATCTGTCATATCAAAAACACCCGCTGTAACATCACCGATTGAGGTGTGGCCAGAAATGTTTTAAATGTTCAACCTATGCAGACCCATGAGGCAACGGATTTAAAAAATTACTTTTAATGTCGTGCTAGGATTAAAATGGAATGCCAGGCAATGAAATAAAAGCAACACATGCGGATGGTTGAGGCGTTTGTCTTCTACTTAGTAACCTGTGTTAACCTGGCTGAGAGCCAAACAGGATGCTGATATTACTCTTTATTGTGCAATCGAAACTTTATTAACACAATGCAAAAGACATATTGTGTCCTGCATAATCGTCCAATACAAACTTGTTTCCACTGAGGACAGGGTTTCTGATCCTGACTACTGTTGTTTTGGAAGAAACTAGATGTAGCAAAAGTTGGATATAGCAGAAAGGCTTAAACTAAACACATCTGAATTTAGCCACCTTACACTGGCAACCAGCTGATTTTAGAATAGGTTTAATAGAATACTGAATACTTTGAAAGTTCAGGTTTTTAGTTACCTGAGCACACAAGTTACATACTGACAGTGAGCCATCTAAGTGCCCGATACACCTTAGGCCAGAATGTGACATGCTTGACCGTAACTTGGCCAGCTCAGATAACTATGACCATAATTCACACCCAACCTGATGACAGCCAGGTGTGTGATCATATTTGACTGTAAGCAAAAAATCATGAGTGACATGTCACTGACATGACAGTTTAACAGTGGGTGTTATGAAAACGTTTGTGCAGTAGCTGAAGAGGAATGTAAGAGCACAACGGAAGTACACATTATACTGTGTGTATGGTTGTGGGATTATGTGTATACGTTTTTTTTTCTGTGTATCTGTGTTTCTCTTTATCATTTAGAAATGACTCTCTGACTGCCAGGTGTGAGAGCCTACAGCGTCCACACCCTGACCTAGTTTGACCCCAGATGGCCCTAAAGATCCAGAGGTCACATTATTCCCTTGAGTAATGATCTTCACAGGCAATTTTACCCAGAATGTGTGAGTACTACATGCTATAGTGCGATAATCATATTGCAAAGAAGCCTAACAACCTTATTTCTTAACATATAATTTAGACATGATATGCCTGCAGGCATGTTTTCTTTTAATCTCCAGTACAAAGACATGCAGTTAATAAAGACTTAACAGTTATTGGGACATAACCTAAATACCTTTCAGCTTTCTCAGCATCTTCACAGACAGAGCAGGTGGAAGCAACATGGTGGAGTCTCTGCCAAGTCACCTGCTCAATCCTTCACAGCGAATTGCTAATGTAGTTCTGCATTAAACTGGTGGATGTAGACTTGCAAATAAAACAGCCATTAAAAGAGATGGAGAGAGAACTGATGTAATGAAATTCAGATGAAGGACGTGTGGTTCAGCTTTGAGTTTTCCAAAGACTCTTTCCTTGTTTTTTCTGAGGGCTCAGAATGGGTTGAGAATTGTTGCACAAGTTAACCCACTGACAAATTATACATGACTGATTAAACAACCTCACCTCAAGGTCCGTTTAGTAGCTGTTCTGGAACTTTCAATCATATCACATGATCTTCCAAAGATCTCACCTGGAGTTAAACTTGTTTTGCCAACTGCTGTTTCCAAGGTCAATAATTAACTTTGAAGCTCAACTTTTAAAGGAATAGTCTGACATGTTGGGAAATACTTTTACTTGTTTACTTTGAGATCTTCTGTAGTTTTTGTGGGCTAATTTTCTAACGTTAGAAGATAAAACAGAATACTCCTTCATAAAACGTGCCTACTCAAACGAAATGATGCACATTCACCTCCTTATCCTGACCAACATCAATGACTCCAGATTTTAAAAGCCCTAGGATAAGACCTCCTCATGGTTCCAGTGCAGCTCTGGGGGCTGCTGTATTTAACCAAGTGTTCCCAGTACAGTTCAGCACAGCTTAGTTTGCCTCAGTATGTTCCCCATTACCCAGCTACACAGGTTAAATATCCTGCATGCTGCTGTATGAGAGCAATAGACTGATGCAGCAGGTATGGCAGAACAAGTCTAGACATATAGGCATATGCCTTTAGACTGTCTAGCAAATGTGCAGTGGGCTCAAGGAGCCCAGAACTAGGTAGTTCAGTTCAATAAGCTTTAGGCCTGCATGACCTGGCACGCTGAAATCTGTCAAAAATGAAGACCAAACCCTATTTTTCTTTAAGTTAAGTGGAAAATGACTAGGAGACACTTTTGTGGGGGAGAGAGTCCTGTTTTTAGGAAGTGATCTATCCCTCACAAATCAAGTTCACATAAACAAACAAAATTTGCCAGATACACAAACTGACAGTGAGTGTGCTTGCTGGAAAGTATTAAACTGATTCTAAGGATGCAGTTAAGGATGACATTCAAACTTGGTTTTCATTAACTCTGGAGGGCAGGTGGTGACAACTGATGTGACACACTTCCAGGAGCAGATAAAGAGGAAAGAGGGAGGAAACATGTACTAATTGAGCATCAACTAGGCTAAAACATTGAATTGAGGCACTTGAATTTGCGCAAAGATAAACAAATAAACAGTCCTGTATATTCCATCCTACCTGCCCAAGAGGTGTAAAACACAGTGATTAGCAGCAATAGCAGCCATGTCTCGCGCACAGGGCTCCATCGATCCATCATATGGTATCTGAAGCTATCGATATGGCGGCCAATAATTCCCTCGTGGCTCCCCTGCACTCCGTGGGACACCTGCAGTCAGAGGAACGTCGGCTCTGCACGCGAGAGCACAGGAACTTAGAAACTGCTGCCTCGTGCACGTGCGTTTTAACGCGCACTCCACCAGCTGCCAATTAAGAGCGCACATGCAGAAAAGCTGGTTTAATTGATGATAAATTAAATTTAGCAGCCCATCTACTCCCGTCTTTAGTGTTTTTCTTCTGGATGGACGGATGAAGAAGGAAGACCAGCAGGTAAAAAATCCCGTAATCTCGGAAGGTCTTTCCTCACTCGCCCACCGAGAACTTTCCTCACTTTCTCTTCCCTCCTCCCCCGTCAGCCCCTCATCCCCTCCCTCCCCGGAGACTCCTGGTTGCGGCTGGTGGGGCTGTACATGAAGATAATTACTGCGCGTGCCATTATTAGCATCATCATTGTCTGAGTGATTTAAGGGACTACATGCGCCCTCATCAGTGTATCTCGCGCGCACGGAAACGCATTAACACGCACGCGCCGGCATATAGGCATGCAACATGAACAATGAAAGCTTGTGCCACATTTAATTTTCTTATCTCTCTCTCTCACACACACACACACACACCAGGCACACACACACACACAAAGCATGCTAGGACAGGACAGCGGTGCTGCCCAACTAATAAAAATATGCTGCTGCAGATTCCAAATTCCAGTGCCTGTCTGTCTTTGCCCACCCCACACTCTTCAAACACACATAAACCATATTATTCCAATAGGTACAATCAAAAACAAAATATGCACCCTGCCTTGTACTTCAAGGCTTTATCATTCTTTATCTCTAATGAAAAGAAACCAGTAGCTCACTGAGAAATATCAGAAACATTTTAGTTTTGTTTTTTTTAGCAAAAAAAGTTTATAGGATGAAAAGGACTGACAGACTCAAAGCTCAGTACATGCACACACATGCATATATGCACATGAATTCCTATATGAGCCTCGGGTCTCCTCTGTCCTGCCTCAGCCTCCATTTACATTAGTCCGTATTGTCTAAGAAGACTTTTGTATACTCCTTATTATTCAGATCACTTGTAGGCTAAAATATTACCCAGACTTAGAAGGACAGTATGAGCAGGTGACTCAGGACCAAACATAATTGTATAATCAAATCAAATGCAAATGTATTTTCACTTGACAGTAGTATATTATAAACATTGAAATGTAACATGCAGTTGATATTTGATCAAGTAAAGCATCTTTTTTTAATCTAAATAAATGAAGGAAAATACATTTAAGACAACTAAAAAAACCTTGATAGAAAGAAAAGATCTGTGTATTTATAACTGACATGAGGCGAAGGTTTATTACTACACTTAACAGTGTAATTTCATGTGAGTATTAGAAAGAGTAAGTGTTATTCTTTGGTTTTGGTGCCATCTTGCAGCCAGATAACCATTGCCCTATATTATATTTTTGTGTGAAGGGGAGAGCAAAACATATGTGCTTTCCAGCCTGTAACTTATGAATAGATACACAAAACGTTGTGTTTTTGTGAATATACTGGAGTGGCACCATCTAAAATTTGGAGACATTTGGCATTATTCTTTAGGTGAAAAAATGTCATGTTTTAAGATAAAGACACTGTAAATGTAGTGTACCATAACAATTAGAAGATCATGTTTTGGTAACAGCGCTGTTTTGGTAACAGAAGTAAATTGCATCCAGACACACACATACATACTGACTTTTCTTTGAAGAAGAGGAAGAAGAAAATAGATTCCAGGCATATTTCCAAATGCCCTAACTCCTGCTTCAAGTAGGTTGTCCTAAATTTATGACTGGCAGCTACACTCTTGTGTTCAAGTGTGTTTGTGTATGCCTGTGTGTAGCGCTTGTTTTATCAAGTCTACGGGTCATAATTATAACCTATCTGACACTGCCAATAATGATAAAAAAAAAAACATCCTCATGCACCATCATGTAGCCTATAACATAACCAGATCTTGGCTTGAATAGAGGAAGCCACTCCATTCATGAAGGGGCTGACTAGAAGAATATTTGCATTGACCGCTGGGCGGCGTCAAATCTCTTTTTCGAGCAGAAACTGACTTCTACAGACCGAAAAGTAGCATCAAATGGGTCCTTTTCAATTTGTTCTTCACACTTTTATTGGCCAGAAACCAAAAGTCACTGAGTCAGAAGTTTGTTTTAAATCAAGTTTAAGACTAAAGCCATGGTTTATTGTCTCGTCATGGAATAAAATTACAAAGTTGTCAACGACATCCACAGGACCGAGAGGGACAACCGACTTTGTACCGGTTAGATAATCTCGGTCTTGTTGCGCTCTGTCCATGTGACTCTCTCTCTCTGTCTCTCTTATCCTCTTACAGTGGCTCTCACCTCAAATCACCGCTCAACCTGCAGAGCTGCCTGCCTACTGGTGTCTCAGTGTGACAAGAGAGCGGAGAGCCATGGCGAGTCCCGGACAGAAAGTGGTGCTGATCACCGGCTGTTCCTCCGGTATCGGCCTGAGGATGGCCGTGATGCTGGCCAACGATGACCAGAAGCGGTATCACGGTAGGTGCACTGTGTGTGAGGAAGATAGAGAGACAGTCATCATTTAATTGCAACTTCAATTTTCTTGGTATGGCATGTAGATAAGCTCTTTGTTTAGCCAAAGAATTCAGACAAGGAAAATAGATAACAGACAAAAATGATAAACAAAGACATTGTTTGATAATAAAACAAATATTACTAACAGTAATAACTTTATTTGGATGGTACATTTTAAATAATTTGTTAAACCCTTCATAAAGGTATACTGTCACTATCACTCCTCTATTTCTTCTGCACTGTTTACACATAAGATGCTTATGGCATGTAGGCTACATAAGAGTATTACCACTGTGAAGCCACTGTCTCTGTTTCTGTGCATCTGAGTGCACAGCAGAGGAGTCATTTCCATCAAAAGCTGACTGAGATGCAGTGGTATAAATATAATAAAAAAAAAAAAAATCTTAACCACATGAGAGGAAATGACTAATTCAGACATGACAACTCAGAATCAATAACACAACTGTCTGATCCTAGAAAACGGGCTGGAACAGAGTGATACCACAATGGAGCAAATTCAAGGCTGAACCCTGAAGAGGAAACTCTATAGTCTACAGTATTTCCCTCTCCACACAGGGAGGTCAGAGGTCACAGTTAACTTTCTTAAGGACTCTTCAGAGACAGAACTCATTTATATGTAACTAGCACAGAAATATCTAATGTCTGGAAAACAGAACCTTAATACTTAGACATATAATAGACAATTTATGTAAGACGTGTGCCAGGAAGCAGCTTACAACGGTCACAGAAAGAGTCCACATTGAAATACAGTTTGCTAAGTTTCATCCATAGACTGTATAAAAGGTTTTTACCACAGATAAATTAAGTCAATGCTGCATCCGACCATATTTTCTCCCACTGCTCATCTGTTACAACCAAACCCAAATGCTGGCCCAAGGCAGATTTAAGGTACATACAGTCTATCTTTAATGTAAAACTACACCGTTTTATTTCCATTGTATTCCTTCAGCATAATAACACATCTATGTCCTAACATGAAGTAAATGATAAAGAGGCAGAAGCCCTATCAAGAAGATTTTTCCACTTAAAGTATCATACCAGTATTTTGTCTCAGGTCATTACTAAACTCTAAACTCATGTATACGTTACATCACAGCTAACCATTAAAGAAAATATCCTGCTGTGTTTTGTAAATTTGAATGCATCTCTTCTACTGCTCCAGGTACCCATTGGTTTCCATGGTATGTTCATACTTTATTAAAGTCTGTTAGTAAGTTACATAATCGTGATGAGGGAAAGCACTGCGCATTTTCAAATCAATCTGCACTTATATTGCATTACCATTCAATGATAATGTAAACTTGCCAAAAATTCCATTCATGCATACTTACAAGGCTCATAAAGGTTTCACTTGTCTGCTAATACTCACTAACATACACATTTGAAAATAGTCGGCAAAATGTTTACCATTAATTTTCCTTTCTAGATGAAGGATAACCACAAGCAGCTTCACTCTTGCCACACACACAGTCATCCCTCTGATCCTAACTTAACCTTTAGTTGCTCTTAGGAAACATGTAACACCAGACAATACCTAAAACCCCACTACAGTCTTGCTTAGGCTAATTATCGGCCAGCTTGCTGACCTCCATTGTGGATGACAGGCTGGCGAGGGCTATTTCTGGAGGAGGCAGGTGATGTGAGCAGCATGGCAAGATGCTAATGCTTATATGTAAACTGGCTGCTGTAACAGTATAAGTGTCTATTTTAGGTGTGATGGAAAATCTTGTGAGCTGGTCAACTCCAGTCATAAGGAAGGTTTCAGGAACTCTGGATGTCTTAAGCAAAAGTATTTATTGATGCTTGGCCAAGGACAATGGCAACAGCAGTGCAAAGTGAGGACACAGAGTTAAGCCAAAACTAAATCTGAATGTTTCTTCCTGACAGGGGATATTTATCCTTACTAGACTTACTGAGATTCATTACATGTACAAATAAGGTTGTTATTCACCCATTGATACATGTGTTAAGGATATTTGTTCAAAACAAGACATTGTGCTTATCTAAGATAGCCTAAGTAATGTTGTGTGTCACTTCAGTTCACACACCCATTCAAAGGAGAGCCAGTCAGTCAGTCAGTATGAAACAAAATAAAACTAATCTTGACCTTGGGTGGCATAGCTGATGGACCACAGAGTTTATTCTTATCAAGGCAGCTCCTTCAGTCAACCAGACTTTAGAACTATGTTCCCATTGATGTTTTATTTCACAAAAAACAGCCCACATGTCAGTCAAGAAAAGAATGTATCTGAACAGTTTCTGTTGTGTGTGTGTGTGTACACACACTCTATTCTCACCTATCATCCCATGTCTCTTTAACAGTATTTTTGGGTCCTGCCCAGTTCTTCGTGAACTTTACTCTCTCTTACTCTTTACGTTCACTCCTATGGCAGGAAATGTACACAGAAGAAAAGATCACTCAGGATGAAAATTCTCTCCTAAAAATATCTACAAATATACATGTATGCACATAGAAAGAACATGCACTGATGCTGCACCTGAATTCAAAAGAACATTTTGAACTTTAACTGAATTTGAACATGCAATACACACACATATCAAGACATAAGCATCTACTCAACGTAACATGATGTTTGTGTTTACTGTATCTGTGTATCTTGTGTGAGCCTACATGCAGCCTCAGCCAGTGAACTCAATTTGATTCTCCAGATAGTGATATTTACCCGGGCAGGTTGCCTAATCACATACCTATTTACAGCAGCAGCCTGAAGGCGTAGTGCTGGAGTTGCAGGTAGAGAGGGAGTATTCACATCCATTCACAAAATCTCACTTGGAAGCTGCCCATGGAAATAAAAGGAGCATAATTATACACAGGGCTATTGGCAGCAATGATGAAACAAGACTAAACACTTAGCACTAAAAACAAAGAACAGCTGAGACTGATGGGAATGTCACTAGTTTTGCAGGCATTGGATCTTAAACCAAATCTGCAAAACCAAAAGTTTTGGACGTATTTGTTGACCTGATGATGGCACTAAGAAATTTTGTGATCAACAAAGTTATTCCATTTCATCCAATAGCAGTTCAGATATTTTGATCTGGACCAAAGTGGTCAACTAGCCAAATGCGGAAATAAAACTACAGGAGCATGTTTCAAAAAGAGTTACTAAAGAAAGACATTATGCGAAAACCGAGTGAGTTACAGATACAGATGGCTCTCTATAAAGCTTAATTCAGCTCCATTTACATTGCTGATTAGTACAGTGAAGCATTTTCCTTAAGTCAGTTTGTTTTGACAAGCTAGACAGAGACAGAATATGTGTTTGGGGTGGCAGTGTTGCAGTGGATAAGACACCTGCCTTTGGTGTGAAAGACCCAGGTTCATTTCCCACTGTGACACATCCCCCAATGCGTCCCTGAGCAAGACACTTAACTCCTAGTAGCTCCAGAGGCGCGGGACCTCTGACATATATAGCAATAGTAAGTCGCTTTGGATAAAAGCATCAGGTAAATGTGACATTGCCAAACAATCTGCTTCTCACAATTATTTGTTTTTTCTTCTTTTCCACATGTTCACAGTGATAGCAACGATGCGTGACCTGAAACGTAAAGATAAGCTTGTGGAAGCTGCCGGGGATGCGTACGGGAAAACTCTTTCTTTGGCTGTACTGGACGTTTGCAACGATGAGTCAGTCAAACAGTGTATTAATGGCATCAAAGATCGACACGTGGATGTTCTCAGTAAGTAAAATTCATGCTCATCATGTGGCACCATGCATTGCTACACTGTCCAAAGTTATGTTGATTACTCAGCTTCTTGCTTGTCTTCTTTTTTTCTTCTCTTGTTGGTCTTCTCCTCCTGGCCAGTCAATAATGCAGGGATTGGCCTAGTGGGTCCAGTGGAAAGCACCACCATTGAAGAGATGAAGAAAGTGTTTGAGACCAACTTCTTCGGGGTGATCCGCATGATCAAGGAGGTGATGCCTGACATGAAGAAAAGGAAAGGAGGACACATCATCGTGATCAGCAGTGTAATGGGACTGCAAGGTTAGCCGACAGTGATGAGTGAAAGGAGAGGAGGCGGGGTGGGGCGTTAATTGGTTCAGGGAGAAATGACAGGTTTGTCAGCTTCAACTTGACATATGCATGGGTTGATGATGGACAAATGGAAGAGTGGGTGGATAGAACACTAATGGATGGTTTAAGTGCTACTGTACGTCTTTACAAACAGGGATGTGTCTACAAAAAAAGTGAACAAAAAGAACTCTTCAAGTTGTCTGAAAGAGAAATTTTAACATTTACTGTTTCTCTAGGTGTGGTGTTCAATGATGTGTATGCAGCTTCCAAGTTTGCCATGGAGGGCTTCTGTGAGAGTTTGGCTGTGCAACTCTTGAAGTTTAATGTCACGTGAGTGCCACTAATGCTTCTTCTGTCCATTAGTAACAAATAACATAGAAATAGTCATTTAACAACAAGCTTTAATCATGTGTTGCCTGCATTCCTTGTCAGTTCTGACACAGTTTTATCTATAACTACATATAATACTTAGCTTCATTATTCATTAATACATTGATTTTTTTTCAGATTACTCAATTAATTGTTTAGACTGCTGAAGGTGCTGTCAGTCATTTGCTTATTGAGAGTCGACAGCATGCGAGCAGCTCTGGCTGTACTTAGTCACAGCTATCTGAACGAATTGCAAATTCTAACAATGAAAATGCTAACATGCTGATGTTTAGCAGGTATGTTAATCATTTTAGTTTAGCGTGTTAGCATGCTAACATTGCTAATTAGCACTAAACACAAAGTACAGCTGAGGGTGGTGTCAGTAGTTTTGCAGGTATGTGGTTAAAAACTAAAGTTCTGGACACATTTCATTTTTGGCCAATAGATGAAACATTCTTGGTAGCGTTTCTCTATCTGCAACCGACAAAATGTTTGGCAATTTTATTATTATTTTGTAAATTAATTATGAACTAAAAGTCTTTTACCACTCACTGTTTTTAGCCTGTGTGGATTGTTTGATGAACTGCCCACATCTCCAGTACTTTCAGCAAGTGAAAACAAAATTAACCTCAGTCTGATTATCAGGCTACCACTGTTCTGCCTTTGGGACACTAGCACTACATGGAATTTTCACAGGCCGCTACCATGAAAAGTTACATTAATGTGACCATGTCAATTATCTATCTGTAGATTTATAGATACATTTATAGATACATTTATAGATACATTTATAGATTATAGAAAAGACTGTCGTCTTTTGGTAATTGCGGTCATTTCCAAAAAATAATAATAATTTAGGGGGGTCATTGTACATCATAATATACAACTTTTTTTTAAAAACTCAAAAAATCAAGTGTCTTCCTACTTTCGAAGCAGTTTAACAGTCCAACATTGTTATAAATCCTTGAAAACTTTGGGTCCAAATTTATTGCAATGGTCTAACAAAAAAATTGTAGTGAAAATGTGTTTTCATTTACGCAGACTACATCCAAATGAGGCATGGTGGGTGTTAAAGGGTTAATTGATATTTATTTAAAGTTTTGCTGATTAATATTCCGTTGCGCTATTAATTGATCAATGATTTCAATCCTTACCCATTTACTCATAGAACTCTTCCTACATCTGAAAATTGCTCTGTTGTTGATTTACATACTTTTCATTTTCCGCCTTTGCTCTGTGTCTCTCTCTCTCTCTCTCCTCAGATTGTCACTGATTGAGCCGGGCCCAGTGCACACAGAATTTGAGGCAAAGATGATTCAGGAGGTGAAGCAGAGGGAGTGTCCTGGAGCTGATCCTGATACAGTGCATTACTTCAAGAATGTCTATCTTCCGTCTTCTATTGACATCTTTGAGGCAATAGGACAAACGCCTGATGACGTTGCCAGAGTAGGTTCACAAGCAGCCTGTGACTCTACCTCACTGTAATAACATAATCCTGTAAATCTGACTACAAATCTTGTGTGTTTTGTGTCCACTCTCTCTCTCTTTGCAGTGTACCAAGAAAGTGATTGAAGCAAGCAGGCCACGTTTCCGTAATCTGACCAACCCATGGTACACGCCCATTGTAGCGCTGAAATACGCTGATGAAACTGGAGGCCTGTCTGTCCATGCCTTCTACCACATGCTCTTTACCATGGGTCCACTGATGCACGTCTGCATGACTGCCATGAAGTACCTCACCTGTGGATGTCTGAGGAGTAGAACAGTTTCACCAAACTAAAAACGTATAAACAATGTGATCAAACGAAGAGAGGATCTTTTGTGACTTGCCATATTTCTTGTTGCATATGCAGTGTGTATTGCAATGAACAGTCTTGTGTATTTTCTTTTCTCTGTATAGATTTGCAGCTTATGAATGTACACACTTGAGACTAGATGAGTGAGATGATGTATTAGACTACCCAGAGTGCCAAATGAGTAGGGTTTGCACTTATAAGACAATATACTGTAGCCTGATTTCATTATTTTATCCTCATCAGTCCCACAAAAAAAGGAAAAATTTGATAGTCCTACACCTTGCTTATTTGTAGCCTATGTATTTGCATCTATGTAAATATTTTTTTTCAAATTCCTTCAGTGAATTGGAGAAAATATTTTAGTTTAAATTGTAAAACTTCCAGGAATTGTGTTACTGTTTCTGATAGTTTTCAGGAAATGTGGTTGCACCACAGTCTGTATAAAGGGTTGCACACATTACTCACGATTATGGTTTTTAGTTATATGCACAGGTTCCATCACTTTCTCTTTGTGCAGACTCCTTTCTGGCACTGTCTGTCATTTCTCTCAGGTGACATATTATATACCCACATTTCAGCAAAAATGTCTCTGTGGCCACGTCAGACTAAGAGTTTACCGTTTTGTAGTCTGTTTGCGAATAAAAGGAACTGACATATTCTGGAAATAAAAGATACAATAATACAATCAAAGGCATTTCTTGTTACAATTTCAAATAATGTTGACAGGTATACTGTCTATTTAGAACTACCCAAACTGCATTGTTTTAATATCATAGGGGGATTCAGACAAACAAACATTTGCGTTTCCACAAAAAAAGAAATACTGGAATTAAATTTAACTATAGTGCAACATGTCCACCTCTCAATATGTCAAGACATATTTATGATGATAAACATCTGGTTTTCTTATAGTACAATTTGCGTTGCCTATTGGAGTATGTAAACGTCTGTAATGTTGTCCTTGACACTTTCAACATATGTCCCAATTCTTTATCCATGTGTTCTTTAAGAACAGCATAGAAATTACAATTTCATTGTTACATTTTCTTCTAAAAAAGGCCAATAGTTTACTGACTGGTATATACATTATATAACGTTAGATGAAAATATCCGTGTGTAAGATCTCTAGATGGTTTTACTCTAAGAGTAATTGTAATTAAGTGCTTACAAAATAGTTATCCTTATTTAAAGAAAATGGCTATGTTTAGCTTGAAAAGATAACTAGGTGAAATATCCTCCATCTTAACAGCGATTTCTACATTCTTAACCAGGTAAAGTTACGTTTTATAAATTGAAGTAGTATTTAGTAGCGAATTTGAAACTCAAGAATTTCACTTCGCAATAATGTCGGCTTTAACGCCGCCATCTGTCTGGTCGATTTATCTGACTTCCACTGCTCAAGTCTGTTTGAGGGAGTCGCGGGAAATTAGAACTCAATCGATACCCGCCTCATCGAACGTCAAAATAAACTTTTTATGGACACATCAGTCTGTAAGTCTGCCCGAAATATTAATATAAGACATTTATGGGAAAGTTGTCATTTGAATGAATTAGGTAGTTTTATGTGTTTGTAGTCATCTCTGTTGACTCTTTACGTTTATGTTTGGCTGTGTGTTCTGGCGAAAGCACGTTTACTAAGTTCGAACTGTGCGTTACTGTTAGCTTTGCAGCTAACGTTATGTTAAGCTAACGTTTTCTAACAAATACGGTACATAACGCTACACCAACTACGCCACTGTCATATTAACTTTAGCCGTGCCACAGCTACATATAATCTTTAGTCGTACCTGTGTCCTGGATGTAAAGAGTGAGTGAGCAGGATGGAGGACGATGCGGGAGATGTCCTGCGCTGTGACGAGCAGCTGAGGACTACACTGCACTATGATGACAAGGAGAAGGTAACGTTAACGTTCTTGTACTTTTGTCTGCACACTTAAGCTCTACATAGTACCTTTAAATCTGTCTTCTAAATGCTGCTGACGTATGAACATTTTACACTCACAGCTTCGTAGGCACTTGGCACTTTTAAAAAGGGAGTACATCAGGACAGCCCAGAGACTACAGGTAAATGTTTTTGTTTGTTTTTTTGGATCCTGTTCAGAAATTCTCTGTTTCACACACACATCTTGATCTGCTCACAGCGTGCTGAGCGTTCAGAGGCAGGGAGGAGCAGGAGCAGAAATGCACAGCAGAACCACTGGGACCGAAGAGGTTCAGAGAGGACATCTAACCCCTGTCTTAACCCATCTTCACTGACACTGGACACTAACAATGGGACAGCCTCAGGTATACCTCAGTGCCAGAGACACACTGGAGGTGAATCTGTCCAAATAAGCTGTGAAGTACATGTAGTTAATCTCTTTCACAGTAAAAATTAGGATGTATGTTGTAAAATATCTAAAATTGATACGGGGATAGAGGTTTATATATATATATATATGTGTGTGTGTGTCTGTGTATATATAGCTCTATAAAGTCATCTGTTGTAGATGCAAAGGCTCTAGTCACTACATGTCAGAGATGAAAGTATCTTTTTATATACTTTTTTCCTGTTAGCGTCATTCACTGTGCCTCATATTTAGTGCCACCAATTCCTATGCAGACTGAAGTGATTACTACAAAAGTCCTGTTTTTTGTTAATGTGCTTTCAAGCTGCTAAGGAATATCTAGAGTGGTTGACACACAAATTTCTTCCATGCCTGTCCGTCCCAAAACAGAACACATCTTGTAATGTGGTTATTGCTCTGAGAAGCAGACAGTATTGTACCTGTAATAACACTGGAAATTAGAATTCATAAATTTGATGTTTTCCCAGGTCCAGCAGAGTCTAATAAATCCAGGAGGAGCCAGGTGATCCCGTTACTGCTCCCATCTGATGCTGCTTGCTGCTTACAAAACCCAGATGCCAGCCATGACACAGCTAGAGGTCACAGACCCAGTCCCGCCCTGCGCCTCAGATCCCGACGCAGCCGCCTGCGGTGGGAACAGAGGAGTACTGAGGCTGGTAGGAGCACAGACAACAGTGAGGAAGGACAGGAGCAGAGTGAAATGATGGACATTGCTAGAACAGAAGGAAGTGAGGAGGGAGTCACAACAGAGGTTGTGAATGAAAGTGAAGAGCTATTTTCTAGTACAGAATCTGAGTCTCCCTCTCTGCTGCTTACACACTGGAACGCTTGTGGACAAACTCAAACAGGAGATATGGAGGGAAAAGAGATACAACAAAAACAAAGGGAAAAGGAGACAGAGTTAGGAGCTGAAGGGAAAAAAGACTCGGAGTCAACCCCTTTTCTGCTCACAGGTTGGAACCCTGCTATACACATTGAAGAACAAGATGGTACACAGATTGGAAGAAGAAAGGAGACCGAGGAAGGAGAGAATAGTAGACGACAGAGGGATGGAAGACTGTGTGAAGACAGTCATGAAAAAAATCTTACATATAATGTAGATCACATAAAAGAAGAAAAAAATGAGATGGTTGGAGGAGAGCATGATGTAAAGGCTGTGGGTCTCCTGGATTCCTGTACCCTAGTGGAAGGACTACTTTTCCCAGCAGAGTACTATGTCAGAACCACAAGACGTATGACATTGTCACAGAGCCAGCCTGACATGCAGGCCGTCATACTCTCCCAGCTGAGCACTGGACGACATCGCAGAGGCTGGGGCCGCGGCCGAGGCAGAGGATTAAAAAGGCACACACACAACCATGAAGGTTCACATCAACACTCTCAGACAGATAGCTCCTCGCTTACATCTACATCTGTAGGTCCTCATATGGAATCGCAGGCTGCTGACACATCAGCTGAGCTGAACAGTCAGAGCTCCAGTGAGATTTCAAATAAAATCTCAGCATGTCAGATCAACATGGATGCTTGTTTTTCTCCAACGGTCACTGCTGCTCGTCCAGTAAGAGGTAGGAGGAGGAAAAGAGGTAGGGGTAGAGGGAGACCTCAGACCCCACGATGCTCTGTTAGTTTAGACACCTGTCAAGTAGGCTTTGCTGAAACCTCAGACGATCCCCAGCCCACCAGCTCTCTGGTCTCTTCGTCCCCGTCTCTCCATGGAGCTGATGGACCAAAGCCCTGCCTCAGTCAAGGAGAAGTTGTGCCAGTGCCAGACAACCCCCAGCCTGCATCCACCCACATCACAGCTACGCAGTCTTCTTCTGGAGTTAATGGAGCTCAGTCTAGCTCTACCTCTGCACATCTGGAGGTCTATCCCATCTTTGTGAAGAGCAGCGGCAGGACTAACAGATCCTCACAGATGAGTAGAAGTAAGACTTCTATGTGTGTGTCAGTGACAGATATGGAGAAGGAAGAGAGGGTCTACATGTTTGTCTTGCTAAGTTAAAAATATTGATCAACCATAATTACAGCTAAGAAGCTGTTCACAGTCCCTGTCAAACAAATAATTAAATGAATAAATACAGTTTTTCTTAAAAAAATAATCTAATTGTTCATTAAACGGTGGTAGATTTATTTTTGCAACAGTCTTTTGCTTAATCAGTTATTCACTGTAACCACACAGTATAAGCACACATACTAATAGTGCCAAGGAATATATTTTCAAGAGGCAAAAATGTTTAATTATTGGACACTATAGTGAACACTGTACATAGGAACTGTATCCAAGGTGTGGCTAGTTGATAGAGCTGATACAACTGAACAAAAGGCGTTTAAAAAAAACTGTCTTGATGTACCGGCTCTTTTTAACATTTTAACGTCCTTGCTTTCTTAAACTAAGAAAACAATGCAAATATGGACACACATGCCAACATTAAGACATGTAGCTACACACCAAGTTTAAAAAAAAACATCCAGTTTAATGGTATTTTGTTTTTTGACGAAGAATGGGGTTTCACAGCACAAAAGTATAAACAGTGTTGGGCTGTAGCTACACAGAAAATACAGTATACATTAATTGTTGTTTTAGTTCCTTAAGTGTGTGAGTGCCTTACTTGTCCTTGTTATTGCCTTTACTACATCCTTTAAACAAACACACTGTCCACTGTGTAGGACAACATTGTATTACCACATACAGTGTGTGTGCCCACATTGTACAGTGTGCGTTTTTCCACCTCCCTTCCTGTCTGGTGACAATCCACTGTTTTACCCCACCCTCACTGACACCTCCCACCCTATAGCCTCAAAATAAAATAGTGTCTTGGAATTACATAATCTCTCATAAACTCTGAAAAAATGTCCTCCCATTTGATTTTCTTTCACTTCATGTCATGCAGGTGCAGCAAGCTGGCGATCTCTCCTTTTGCCCTCCTCTCCACCTGCCCAAACCCCTCTGCTTCCTCTCCCCCCTCTGTCCTCTGGCCCGTTGGTCAACAACCTGATGAACTTTGACATTCTGCAAGATTTCCATCTCCCCGATGACCAGTTTGCCTCTCTAAAGCTGCACAAGCTCCGCCAAGTCGCTGTGGAATCAGGAGTTGAACATTTTACATCCCCGTCTTACAACACACGTAGTAGCAACAGGCGTTCTGACACTCGCTTCAGTGGCAGCAGCAATGAGCCAGTGATGCCTCTTCCTGTCCCACTCAGCCTCACGCCCACAATCACACATTCACCCCATCCCACTAGAGTAAAACAAGCTGCTACAATGTCCGTAGACTTTGAAAACTTGTCGATAGATTGCAAGCTTACAGATAAATTGACAAGCCAGTCCTTACCTGAAGAGTCAACTGACTGGGAAAACCCTGGAGAGCAGCAGACTGAAAACCTTCACCCCGAGTGTCAGACTCACACCACCTCAACAGAATCTGTGTCGCTGGTCCAGGATTGTGCTGCAGACTGTGTTGATCAATATAAACAGAAAAAGACTGTGATTCTGAATTCTCCTAGCCAGAGTAGCGCCTCAGCCTGCAACACACACAGATCTATCGAACGATTTGCCAAACCACAGCCTCTCGTCAACTTTGCAGACACCCCTGCAGGTGTGAAAGATTATGTCATCGGGCCCTCTGATAGACTAACAGAGTCTATTGTCATGTCATCAGAGAAACAAACAGATTGTCCTGGTGTAGTCCATGCTTTTGAGGATCAGAGGTCTACAAACCTCCAAACAGAAGACCAAGCTATCATTAAAACTCTTTCCTTTGACTGTTCCCTAGAGAAAACCCCTGAGGAGCCGTCTAACAACTGCACTGCTGTGCGGACATTAAATGACATTGAAGCTCCAGGAGAGTCTCCTGGGCAGCATCTGAATGTGAAATCCCCTGCCAAAGATATAGAGAAATCCTCTGAACCCAGCACAAGTCCCCTCACAGAAAACAGACATCAGGACGAGTGTTTACCGCACCACAGTGTCCAGTCCCAGCTCCTGTTGAGCCATCCTCTGGCATCAGCACACAGCCCCTGTGTTAGACCACACCTGCGCTCCTCTGCCCTTCCCTCCAGCCCCGCACTACCATCACTAGGACTCACCCCCTACGCTGTCCATGCTGCCCTCCCTCTGACCTCCTCTCCCTCTGCCCCAGCTCTCACCCTGCCTCCCCCTCATACCCCATCCACCCAGGTCCTCTCCCCTCCAGCTCTTTCTCTCTGCCCATCCCTCACTTCCATCCCTGCTAGCCAGTCCCCCACCTCCCCAGCTGGTCAGATCCAGAATTCACCTGAGCCTGCTACCTGCATGACTGTCTTCAGCATCCAGTCACAGGGCTCAGGTGGGCAGGTGGGCCTGAGAACAGAGGAAACAGCGGAGGAACACATGATGAGATGCACACACACACGTTAAAGGTAAACTGATGTCTTAAAATTCTTCTATGTTTGGCTTGCAATTTTAAATTTAAGTCAACAATTACTTTCAAATGATGTGTGTGTGTGTGTGTGTGTGTGTGCAGCATCTATGTCATTTATTTGCATAAATTACTGTGTGTTTGTGTTTGTTCAGGACCCAGCAGGAGGCTTTCTAGTGGATGCCTGCTGTCTGCACGGATCATCTGGTGGGTTGTGTGTAGCAGCAGCTGGAAAGTGGGCAGTGTGTCTCTGGAGTCAGACTTCAGTGTCTGATTGGAGCTTAGCACACACCTGGGCCTTCAGCGAGGTGAGTGTGTGGGTGTGCACTGTATGAGTTCCTGCATATCAGAGTCATTAATTAATCCTATTTTAATTTATTCATTAAAGACAAATCCCAAATATTCAATTGTTCCAGCTTTTCAAATATAAGGATTTGCTGCTTTTCTGTTTAATATCATTGTAAATTAAAAGTCATTAGGTTTTAGATTATTGGTTGAAGAAAACAAACAACTTTACATTACACATGGGCTGGAATTCTTTTTTTATATAGATTAAGCAATTAATACATAATTTGAAAAAAATAGACATTTAGCCGTAGCTGATTTTAATATGAATAGGCAGTTGTGTTATGTGACACTAAAATGACTGTTAACAGACTTAACATTTACTGTTTCAAGAATCAAATGTGACACATGGCACACTTTAATACAGTGAACACAAAAAAGTTTCTGTGTTTGTTTACAGCCAGTGATCAATGTGTTTCCTGTCCCGGATGCTGCTGGACTCATATGTGTGACTCTGGGTCAGTTAGAAATCAGAGAAGTGAGGTGAATACAACACACTCAGTCAGCCTTTGTGACATGCATTTTACCATTTTGGGCATTTTTGTATGAACATGATTAAGCCAAGTGCTAAACTGAGGTTAGTGTTCAAAGGACTTCTCCAGATGTCTTTATTAATTGTGCATGGAGGAACCAGCTGTTCTGTGTTTCAGAAATTAAACATAACTGCGTGTTTCTTGTCCATGTGCACAGGATTCTGTCGTGCTCCAGCCTTTTGCAAGTGCTGCTCCGCGAGGGGCTTATCCAGGCTGTTGTGGGCGTGTCCAAGTCCAGAGTGGTTACCTCCTGCCACTCGGCTTCTGGTTCCACCCTGCAGGTGTTTACACTATCAGACAATGGCAGGTAACACAGAGTTGGCATTGTTTTAATTCTATCTCAGTTATTTTCTCATTGCACAGATATCTCAGTGTCTCGTCTCTCCCTCAGCACACCGAGCCCTCAGCCTCTTGTGTCTCCTGGTGTTTGTGTCGGGGCACTCGCTACTGTGGACGGACTCTCAGATGCTCTGATCGGCACAGATGAGGCTGGACGCCTCTTTATCTGGTAAGTAAGATTGTAACAGAGAGATATTCAGCTCATTACCATGCTATTATTAACCTCACAGGAAACAGTTTTTAGAATATTTGATGACATCTAGCTTTTGTTCCTACGGAGGTTTAATACACTTGTGTACACTTCCAAATGGATGGACTTGGATTGTGTTGATTAAATCTGTACAGAAACACAACAGCAGAACATACAGATGAAGCCAAGAGATAAGTACATAAGGTGAACTGAAAAATGCATGACGTTTTCTGTGAATGTTTGTGAAACTCTCCACAATGTTTTCTTGTCTTTGGCCCCATGTATGGTGGGATAAGATCAATGGCTCTGTGATCCAGAGGATGAATACATTGATTTAGAGAAAGAAAAAAAGACCAATACCAAATTTAATCTCTTCAGAATTTTTAGAGTAGGAGTACTGATCTAGGATTAGTAATGGACAAGGCTTTGTTCTTCCAATTTAAGACAAGTCTGGATTTTTATATTTTTTTTGGCTCTTCAAAGCTGCTTAAAATTCATCTGAAAGTGAGCACCAAGCCCTTATGTTCAAAACTGTAAAAGTGCAGGTTTGTTCACAGTTGGCTTGATCGTGACCAAAACATTTTAGATTTAACTCCACTGATACATTTTCAACTCTACAAATCTCTCTCTCTCTCTCACTCTCACTCTCTTAGTGTGAATATTATTGTTACTTGTTCTTTAAACAGCCACATCAAAAATGAAGTGCTATATGATGTCTCATACTCCTGTAATATTATTATATCTTATTTTACTGTACTGTAATAATACTTTTTGTTACATCTTGGACTAACCAAACTAACTAGACTATACCATATTAAATGAAGAACATCTCAAAAACTATCACATCTAGTGCATCAAGTATGACCACTGACAGAAAACATGAAAATGTAAGCCTCACTGTTTCTGCACCACAGCCCATTATAAACCACATAATCCATGAAGTTTACAAATGAATTGTCAGGTGAGGATCAAGGTAAGCAATCAGCAAATCTTACCAAAATATCTTTTTTAAAATTTAAAGTAAAGTAGTATTGAGTGCCATAATTTCAGCTTGTAGTAAAATGGTGAAAATTATTTCCAATAATATTCATCAGCTGTTTGTCTCACAAAGGCAACAGCACATTTCTGTCCACGTTGCAAAGCCATAACAGAGCGCTAGAAGAACTGCATGAAATTACAATCCAACTACATATTTTTTTCTACCAGGGCAGTAAATGTTTATCTAGCTGATCTGAGCTTCCAGCTGGAAGCTACCATTTTATTGTCAATTAGTGATCAGCTGATTGTCTCACAAATGTAACAACAAAGCCAAAACAGAACGCTGGAGAGAGAGAGTCACTACATGAACTTAATCCAACTACATTTTTTTTCTACCAGGGCAGTAAAGGTTTAGCTGGTTGATCGCTTCCGTGCTCTAAGCAAACGTTACCGTTTTATTGCCAATTACTGATCAGCTGATTGTCTCGCTAACGTAACCGGCAAAGCCAAACTACAGGCGAATAACTAGGCTACATGAAATTCATCCATCTACATATTTTACACCACTTAAAAGGGAAACACGCCACTTCTCTTTGTGATTATGGCCAGCTTCTAGCTAAAGCTATCATGTCCAAATGTCACTTCTCTTCTTACTTCTAATAAACCAGACGACTACTCAGAGGCTGTTTATTATTATGATTTCCTCTTCTTCTTGGTACGCATTCAATGTAGTGACAGGCGTCTACACTGCCGGAATTATACAAGCAGAAGAAGACCACCATGATGACGAAACGCACTCTGTAGCGCTGTTTGTCCGTTGTCAGCTACGGTAGAAACATGACGACACAATACGGCGACGTCCATGGACTGTCAATAAATCCTCAGAAATATTACACACTGAACCTTTAAATATGATAAGATAGACTTTATTGATCCCACACTGGCGAAATTCACTTACCTCAGCTCCAGATACAACGCGACATAAGAAAATACACATTCTGACAAAAATCAGAAGAGAAAAAGATTTAAAAGAAATAGAAAGATAAGAATAAGAGTTATGTGCATAAGATGTACACCTTTTCATATGCAGATATGATTGATATGGAAACAACTGACCTTGAAGCACAAACATTAAACACTGTCCTTAGCTTTAAATGTTGAATATATCTACAAATGCACCCCATGTTTCCTCTTTGAGAGATTTTTTAAACTGTTAGAATAACATCCAGATTTTTCTCTCACATGCGCTGCTGTTTCCAGGTGAATGTATTTTCTGTGTTTGTGTGTTGCAGGAATTTAAAGACTGGACAGCTGCTGCGGAGAATCCTCCTTGGAGATGGTTTATCACACACGGCCTGCCTCAGAGGATACTCCTACTGTGTAAGTCTTTTGGCTTTGCATGTAAGGGAAATGCCTGTTGTCTTGTGCCACCATAACTGTCTCACTCTTCAGATGATCTCACTCCTGTGTGTTTTTGTGTACGTGTGACAGGGAGTGTTATTTGTCCTGCTGCAGCACCAGTTGCTCAACTCACTGGAGGAAGAGGAAAGAAAGGCCACAGCAAAAGATCAAATGTTTCTGGAGGAGGAGAAGGAAGAGGAAAGGACCGCCCTGTTCTCCTTGGTTGCTGTTAACCCTCTGAGTGGAAAATCTGTCCAGGCTACCCTTCTGTATCCGCCCAAGGCCTGGTCTGGCAGGTGAGAAGAGGACTGAGGGGTGGACAGGTCATGTTTTTGTGTCTCTGCGTATATGCATTCACATCTGCATCTGTCTTCTGCAGGCTGTGTGAAGCCGACGTGAACAGCTCCAGCGTGGTGGGCCTGAGTCAGAGCGGCTGTGTGTGTGTGTGGGAGCTCGGGCGCCAGCGAGCCGCGAGGATGGTGTGGGCTCCTGAGAGCGATGGCTGGCAGCTGGCTCGATGGGGGGCGGGACATACGCTGGTGACTGGACATCACAACGGAGACGTTACCTTACACTGCTACAGTACGAGCCAGACTTCACTCTGCCACATTAAAGACTTTTCAGTCGCTTTTATCAATTAAAAAGGTATTTCTGTCACTGTATGAATGTTTACATGGAGATTTTAACACCTTTTAAAATACTTCAGGTCACATTTGTTCATTCTACCAGATTCTGAATGCATTGCAAAAAGGTTCTGTGGTTTCCTTTTCCACTGTAACCTCTAGGCCCCTGTACTGCGAAGATAATGACACTTATGCACTGTAAATTGAACATATTCAACATGTCATTGGCCTGCTGGTAAAGCTTTATTTAGAAAATCATAACCTCAAGATGGATTGCTTCTAAATTGCACTTGTTCTCCTCCACCCTTTGCATATGTCTACACTAAAGTTTTTAGAGCGCCAGCATCACATACTGAGCCCCTGTGTGTGAGGATGTCTGCTTGATGGTGGGTTTTCATTTTTAGACCACTTTAACTCCAGTCTGAAAACCAACTTTGTGTTTTATTAATGCTGCTTAGCCTTACTGTGCTTACTTGAATATATTGTTTATATTTAACGAAAAAGAAGTGTCAATGTTTGTTTTTACATGCAACATTAAACATTTGTGAATAATGTTGTATTTTATGTCTACATTTATATTGCTTTGGTGGACCAAAACCATCTGAGACGTACTGTTTTTCCATTTAAAATAGTGGAGAGTTAGGAGATGCGTTTTCTTGTGTCGGCAATGTAAACGGTCCCTTCCAGATAATCATATGCTTGCTGTGTAGCATCATCTCCCATTCTTAAGTATGGAGCATATACACATGATATAATTATGCATAAGCCTGGTGTGAGTGGTTAGATGTCCATACATGGCAAAGATTAAAGGTTTGATCAGCTGTTGCCCTAAGCAAGGAAATTAATCCCTGTCTCTTTTTTGTTCTGTGTCAAATAAACAAGAGTGTCGCCTAAATACAGAAGAATAGTTTTGTTCTTATAATTTGTTACACATAATGTAATGGAGTTCAAATCAAATCTCTTCACAAAGTACACTATAACTTTTAACTACTTTAATTAAAATTCATGCAATAACAAAATCAAAGCATCTTAAACGTCAATGACAAAAGTCATACATTTTCTAATGCTGCCTGTAATTTAGGTCATTTAAAGTGACTAAATATATTTGTTAGAAGACTCATTTAGAAAAAATTTAAATCTGTTAATCCTGAGACCAATGAAGAAAAAGTGAACTGCAACCAACTGTAAAATATTGTAAATGAAGCTGTAATGGCAATTTGTGGCTGCCAGGAGGCGCCAATAGATACTGATTTAAGAGCTTTGGCACATTAACTTCCAGTTGACATTCTTAAAGAGAGCATGGCAGGGAAATTTAATCCTTACACTTGTATAATAGTTACTTTATACCAAGCAAGCATCTTCTACTAAAATATCATTTTATTAAATTCCCTCCATGGCTCCTTAGTCAAACTCCTGAGGTTGGTCACGTAGGGTTTGCATAAAATACTGATTTAACATGCAAGAAAGATGATTTATTCTCGGAAGTTGAAAGACAAAAAAAATACATGTATAGAAAATCCAGAGATCTGTGTAGTATGTTAAAAAAATAAAATGATTACATTCCTTCTTTGTAAAACTAGTTTTCTACAAGATACTGTCAAGTTTTTTAGTTTAACATGTTTAGTGTAATTTTCCTCCAAATGATGTCATTTAGCCATGGAGATAGCTTTACATCATTATCTGTAAGATTACATTTCAGTGGAAATAACTGAAATAGTTTTTTGTAATTTTAGTGAACAAACTATTTAAACAACCTGTGAAAAACAACCATTAGTTCATTCAAATAATTCTCAAGGCTAAGGTGTGCACTGTGCGATTTAAGCAGGCCGACATGGAGCATGAAACTCAATGTGGATCTGAACAATAAAATATTCTTACAAAGTCTGTTTAGTAGACCTTGAACTTTTTGGTCACAATTTGCTCCGTTCATTCTTCACAGAGCAAATTGTGCTTCTCAAACTTAGGTCTTGTTCATGTGAGCAGAAAACTCAAATATCTTATGTGCAGCAAATGTGACTGAAACATCTTGTTCAAGAGACTCTTTATTTAACCTTGGGTAAACAAACCATCTTTACAACATGTACGGATATTCAGCAGTATGTACAAGTTTGTACATCTTGTTGGAAAAGACAAGACACCTAAAATATACTTTAAAAGCGTAAAAAGTAACTACAGGAAGAATGTACATGATGAAGACGTATTAACATGGTCCATTTCTCTACATACAACACAGATAAAAACAGACAAACTGGAGAAGACCAGAGAAGCCCCCTCCCCCCCACCCATCCAGCCAGCCAGCCTGAGTCTCAATCCCCACCACACATTTGTCCACTCAGCTTCAGGTGTAAACCCATGACTGATACATGAACAAATGCAAAAAAAAAAAAAGCAAGAACAAGCAGAGAGAATCTGGGAATTCAACTTCAAGATGAGTTTGAACACCGGGAACACAAAACACCCTTTTCCTCCTAAGATTCAGCGGAACGTACAGGGTCAACTCGTCTGCTGTGCCGTCAGCGATCCAGCCATCTTAGATTACGTCAGCAGGTACGTGTTCATCAAGAGTAAGAAAGTTAAAGACAGAGCTTTTATTAACAGCAGGGGAAAGGATAAAAATCAGATTGAACTTCAACATTCATGACATGAATTTTCACGGTACATGTCAAAGCCTCAAAAAGGTGACATAAAAATCATTACACTCTTCAATAAAATGTGAGAATTTAAGTGTCTGTTCTGTCCTCAAACTGGCAGACAGGAAGAAGTGGCCAGTGATTAAAGACAGAGTGATTGGAAGATGTGGTGTAGGGTGGTCTAATGCGTGGCGATGGAAGGCTTGCTGTCCAGCAGTTTCTCAACCATGAGCTTGGCGTAACGCATGCGGCTGGCCAGCTCCTTACTGCAGCCAAACTCCTCCAGCAGAGACAACTTGTAGGTGCGGAAATCTCTCTTCTCGTCAATGTAGGTCACTGCACCCATCAGTGGACACAGGATCAGCTTGGTGTGGTCCTGGCAGAGAAGGAATTAAAGAAAACAGATTCAAGATTTGTGCACAGGACATGAAGAGAAGAAAAATTAAAAGACAAAAAAAAGTGTATTTAACATGTATGATAATTCAAAACACACAGGCGGGAGAAGATGTGGCGTGTGTCTAACCTGGAAAAAGTTGATCTGAACGGTGCCGTTGGTGAGGTGCAGGACGATGGCGCTCTTGGTTCTGAACCAGAGGGAAAGGTAAGGCAGCCGTGCTAGCTCGTCTCCTTCTCGCCGCGCAATGTTGGCGCCGGCCTTCAGCAGGTGCTCACTCATGTAATTGCGGAAATATTTCAGCAACGTTATCTACAAGGGTGAAAGAGAACAAGCACATAAGAATCCATACATTGATATGGATCAAATTTCAGGATTATACCTTTGTTAATAAAACAGCCTCAATTTATCTGCTAAATCGAATCAAAGGCTCAAGAGTAAATATAGTCAACTACTGACCTTCTTGTTGAGAGCAGCAGGGTAAGAGCGTATGCTGAGGTAGGATTCAGCTGCTGTCTTGTCAATGTACTGCAGACTGTCTCCGTCGGCATACATGATCATACGTGTGTAATCGTTGAACAACACACCCACGCTGTTGTCACAGAGCTGGTAGCCTGAAACACACATTTAAAAGTCCTGATAAGGAACCTTTATAAAAATATTTTTTGAAGAATTTTAAACAAGATGTACCAAACAGGACACTCGTCACTATTTCCAAACGACCTCAAAAATACCTTTCACTGTTCTATATTTCACTATACCAGTTTATTCAGACATTTTGACATGTCATCGCACCACAAGCAAAAGGCGTCATTAACACCAATGACTGATACATGCAGACTCACTAGCTTTGCTTACTGAGACACTTAGGGGTTGAGCTATTGTTTATGTCATCAGGTATACCTGCACTTTCCTGGTATTCCAGGACAAAATGTCTGTTGAGAAAAGCCAATAATTGCAAAATCTGATGCATCCAGATCAAACTCCTGGGTCAAAGATGAATCGTTTTTGGGTGTAGCTTTAAAATCATCCTAACCCCTAAAATCCACCGACTCTGGCACGTTACGGCTGTGCTACGGTTTTGATCCGTCTATAGCCCAGCGTCAAAGTCCACATGAAGTGTTTCAGCAGCAGAGCGTGACGCCTGCCCTACGTTATTGACTTCTATTTATTACCTTCTTCACGGCCCTGTGACCTCGTTTCAGGCAACTTCAGGCTGCATAGGTTTTATCTTTTTTGTCCTTTTTAACTGTGTTTTTCGTTTTACAAATCTGGAGACTCTGTAGGTCATTTTATTTTGAAAATTGACCAGATTCTCTTTGCCTTTCTGTCTCCGACTTCCTGCCTGGTTTGATCTACTCTGTGCTGCTTCTGTCAAAAATAGACCGGCTACCGAGCTGCTTCTGTGACGCGCTGCAGCCACGTCTGGTGGACTCAAACATTGACTTGAATGGCTGCAATTATCTCCAGCAACCATGCCGCAGCCAGTCCATTTTAGGGGTCAGGTAGACTATAGTTTAAGTGCACTACTGACTTCAGTCAGCCATTTACCACATTTTACACATTGAAGCCAACCTTTCCGTTACCTACATACACCTAACTGTACAGTAAAATTATCTTTGCTAAACTGGAGTTCATTGATGTCCATAAGAAAAAATGTTCCCGTTTCATTTCTGACTTGATAACAAAAAAGTACAAGCCTGACTAGAGATGTCTAATTCTTACCTAATCCATATTTGTCAGAGTAGTCCACCCATTTGCTGATCCAGAAGATGGGAATACATGCAGGATCCTCTGCCTCTTCTGGAAATAAAAAAAAAAAAAGAACAAAATATTTGCATGCACTGTTGATGCAGGAACAAGAATGATCTAGTAGTCTAAAAATTGCAACGTTGAAACTAAAAGGATTTGTCAGCTGAACTGAGGAGTCTGAGCTCACCTTGGCAGATGACTGGCTTCTCAGAGGGCTTAGCGGCAAGGATACTGTTGAGCTGCTGCAGCAAATCTTTCAGGTTGTTTTCTGATGGCTCAGGTTCTCTATACAGAATACACAAGTCACAACATTTAACTACATACAAATTTGACAAAGACAAATTTCAATCTGATGCTATTTGATGAGTTCTCATTTAATTATGACATTTCCCTTTTATTTACTGCCAGGCACAAGCTGTCTGCCCCTAAATCAGGATGGTATGAACCAGAGAGTTGTAATAGATATCAAGTCTCTTATTGAATCAAACCCCATCTAAACCACCACTCCACTTCCACAGAGCATGATAAAGTTAAATACTATTCCTTAAAAGTAGACTGAAAAACACTTTCATAGCTTAAAATTACAGGTAGACATTTTAATTTCCTAAAACTAACAATAGCCCAACAAATGCAGAAATAAAGATAATTTTTTTTTGCTTAAGTTTGACATAATATGAATCAGCACTTCCATCTCCAAAATTGTACAAACTTTTCTCACCTTTGAACAGGCTCGTCCTTCATGTCCACCTTCTCTGTCCCTCCTTGAAAAGGAAAACCAATCATTAACACTCTTGTAGACACCAAAACCCAATTCTGGAAACACATAACCACTGCCTACACAAAAAATAAAAGCACATGTCTGCATTATTTTCATTATTTGTAGTCTAAAGGCTTCTGTGGAAAGATGTAGTCTGTCATTTACTGCTGGGAGCATTACCCTTGTTGTTGATAGCAGTCAGTGGCCGTCTCTGGCTGAGCTCCATAGCTGTGGAGGGGGCAATGGAGAACCGCGGGGGCACAGTGAGGCAAGTAGTGGGCAGGCGTATGGGGATGTAGCCGGACGTGAAGAACTCGTCCGCTTGCAGCTCAGTGATGGTGGGCCTTTGGGCGGGATCAGCATGCAACATCCGCTTGATGAGAGCGGATGCGGCTGGGTTGATGTGCTGCAAAGAGAGAGTTGTAAATTCAGGTTGTGAGAGCAGTGAGGAATCAGATGTGTAAAAACAATGTATAGTACATGCTATGTTTGTCTGCTACATTAGTCCAGCATACCCAGGGGATCGTGTAGTTGTTTTTCTTGATTCGATTGTAGGTCTCCTTCAGACAGGAAGTTTCGAATGGGGGCTTACCCACCAACAAAGTGTACCTGAGCAATTATAAACAGGGAGAAGGTTCATCTGACTGGGCTGAATCGTGGATTAGTACAGTTTTTGCAATTTCAGCAGTACAAACTGTTGAGTGTCGTTGCAGGTGTGCTTCAGACTTACAATATACATCCAAGCGACCAGACGTCCACTTCGTAGCTGTGGCCTTTCTTACAAAGCACTTCAGGTGCAATGTAGTTGGGCGTTCCACACAAGGTCTTCTTCCTTTCGCCATCAAACTCGATCTTAGTGGCCAAACCAAAGTCCCCTACAGAAAAAAAGACGTTTGTAAAGCAGCACACAAAGATGTTTGTGTAAACACGTAGGGCACATTAATGTTCTTAAATGTGCTTTTTGTGCATTTGGTCCTTATGAAAACATCCCAGTCAATGGAAACCACTCATCCAGGAAGCCTGACCAATTTCTGATATGGAAGCTGATGTGCGTCCTATCCTTGATTACTGAACCAACAGGTTTGGTTGCGTGCATCTTCATTAATGTTACAGGTATTGATTACCCCCATCTCAGAACTGGAGTTTGCAGTCCAACAGGGGAAATTACCTATTTTGACTTCCATGTCATCATTGAGGAAGATGTTGCCCAGTTTCAGGTCCCTGTGGATGACTCTGTTGTTGTGCAGGTACTGGACACCATTGAGCAGCTGGGTCATGTAGTAGCGAGCCTCAGGCTCAGTCACAGCCTTACGACGTTTGTGCAGCTCCAACAAAGACTGAAATAGAAAAGAAAATGATGGGATTCATGGAGATGAAAACTACAATCAAACTCTTAACAAAGACTGTGACATATAAGATTCAGATGGCAATAATGGAACTTTCAGAGGGGTGTACTGTGAAATAGTTTGATTAAACCCAAAACAGCAGTGGATGGACTGGACACTGAATCCAAAGCTAACATTTGGGGAGGAGACTAGTTAGTAGAGAAAAAAAAAAGGGTAAAATGGCAGCAATTCATGTCTTTTTTCCTATTTTTTATAATAACCAACTTACCTTAACGTTTCATTATTTAATGATTGTTATTTTAAGCGACAATAATCAAAACGTCCTTGGCTTTTCTTGCCATTTAAGTTAACGTTACCTCCATAAGGATTGGGAGGAAAACGGAAGAGACTGCCGTGACAACTGTTAACGGTTAGCCCTGATTAACTTTAGTGTGCTCACTAAGTTAGAGAGAGAAAGCATGCATTTTCCCAAAAACACTCACCCTTCTTCTGCAGATTTCCAGGACAACAAAGACAAAGTCGTCGTTTTCGAAAAACCCATGAAAACCGACGACGTTAGCATGGTTAAGACTCTTATGAATGGAGATTTCAGATGACATCTTCTCCCTCTGGTGTTGCTTCAAGATCAGGGACTTTGGCACTATTTTCCCGGCGAAAACCTGCTTCGTCTCCACATCTGTTATTTCGTAGCATTTGGCGAAACCACCTTTTCCGAGGAATTTTCCCCTCGCGTATCTTCTCATGGTGCGTGGGTCAACCAGGACATCTGGGATTTCTTTGAGAGGAGCTGATTTCGGGTCGACATGTGCCGACGGATTCGCCGGCTTCGCAATACCTGCACTCATTTTGGATTCAAGTGCTATTCGGCGTCTCCAAAATAAACGTTAAAAACTCTTCAGCAGTCGAGGTAACGTTAAGGATAACAGCTGCAAGGGTTAAAGTATTGATAACCCTACCTCAACCGACGCTAGCTTGCTCCCATACACTTGTGAATTCAAATCAAAACTATTGTTAACCACCTTTGAACGCGAACGTTATTCAGACTTTTGATTCAACGATTTAAAAAATGTACTGCATGCGATTCTCAAGACTAAAAAAACCTGAGCTAGACATGAATTTTATCGCAAGACTCGTCCCTCGGTGGTTGCAGCGTTACTCCGTTCTGCCTTTTAACAACAGTCTCTGAAACAAGTTTAAAATGCTGCCTCGGTCGTTACAGCGCTCTCTGATTGGTCCGCTCGATTTGAATTCCAAGTCACTGCAGCAAAGCATCGTGGGAAGACTATTGCAAAAATAGCCAATCACTGAGCGAGAAAGTCGCATTCTGTGGTGTGATTGGCTGAATGCTGGTCGCTCGTCGTTTCCGTGATTCCTAAAACACAGTGCTGACGGGAAATGGAGTCGGAGGGGATTTGGTGGCGATACTGTTTGAAGAGGAAATGTTTTTTAAATTATTTTCTCAAGTTAAAGTGACAATAGCACTTTGTTAAACCATGTATGTAACTATGAATAAAACGTCCACATTTAAGATTCAATTACACAAAACTAGGCTACTGTTTCGTAGCTATCTAGCGTAGGCGACTGAGTAGCTAGTAGTAGTAGGCTACAACTAAAAGTATATTTGTAACGTTACTGAAGTAGGCTACAATAACGTACTTGAGTACAGATTTCAGATGCAAGTGACTATCTTCATTTTCGTCTTCTTCTACTACTTTATAAGGTTGCTCAACTATATTTATATGGTTTTTACTAATTTATTTGACAGCTCTACAAGTTGAAGTTAGATTTTATATATAAAACCTATGATGAGTTTATAATATGTTAGTCTACCCAACAGCAAAATATAAAATTGTTCAATTTGCTGGACCTTCACCAACTACAGAATTTAAAATTGTTGATTATACGCCATATGTTCTTACACCAGTGTAATCCAAAAGCTCAATATGTTCTCTTGAATACTGCCACTGAGTATATATATTAGTGGTATCCCTATGCCTTGTGGGCATTCAATTTCTACTTTATTCTCCATTATAACTTTCATTGGTAGCCTATACTACTGATACTCCTATTCGTTGTGCAACTGATAATAATCGTCTATCGCCATTGTCTCAATCATAATAAACTATCAAACCATACAAAAAGCTTATTAATGTTTATAAGTCCAAGTGAAACTATGCAATAGACCTGCTGCTGAAACTGAGCCAGATCATCCTATGTGCTTGCTTGAATACACACACCAAAAGCACTGTATCAATTTATATAATTTTACTTATGTTTTTGTGTTTTTCTTTACTTTATATTAAAAAATAACTTAATTTTGAATTTCTATTGATCTTTTCAAATGACCGAGAAAACAAAACTGTGCAAAGGGTGTTTGTATTCTGTATGTGAAACCAACAACATATTTTAATGTGTAATCTTGCAGCAACATCCTTGCCATGTCAAAAAATGTGTATATATTTTTTAAAACAAACCAGACATATTATAGTGTATCCTGTTTCATCAGCAGAACTGCTGGAAATACCTTCTTTTTCCTTATTGATGCTTGTGTGCCCATGACCTCCTGTTTTCAGTTGCAGATTATAGAACTGACATGTGGATAAGGAGTGGAGGATAAGAGGCGAATAAGTGGATGAGGAGAGGACAGATGAACAAAAATTGACCATGAGATCTGTGGGTTTATTTATTCTCTTATTCTCTTTGTTACACTTGACAGTGTGTCTCTGTGCGTGTGTGGGTGTTTGTGTTAACCCTCTAAAACAGCGGGACGTTGCTTCATATAAAAGAGAGGAGCTATTTTTATGGACTGCTCTAAATATTCCTTCAATGCATCTGCTGAGGCTAACAAAGGCAGTTATAATAAGAAAGAAAAACCTCAGGCCGTGTAGATTTATTTATTGACCCATGACAGTTAAAATCTTTTTTAATTCTAATGTTTTGTGTCTGCTTTTGGCAACAACTGGAGACAAGGAGAAATGTCTTTAATGTGGTTGATTGTGCAGTAAGGGGGTTAATCATCACAAATTCAGGGATCCAGAATTTACCAAGTTTAAAAGTCCTCTCTGATTACTTTAATGATTGTATCATATGCTTACTATAAATAGCCTAACCTATAACTAATTGAGCACTTTGTATTGTAGAGAGATTCGCATAGACATGAACAACTTTCTTATTGTCTCTGAAATGAGGAAAACTAGTTTGTCTGTCCTTAATATGGAGTAGGCTACAAAATATTATGATCTACAAAAATACATATACAGGTATAAAAACAATGTTGAACGTAGGTCCTATAATAGAAGAGCGGAAATAAGCGTCCAAAATCCTTAAATTGCTGACAGCAATAGTGGAAGGTAGCCTAAGTATATTTACCCAAGTAGGCCTACTTGTTCTTTACTTCAGTATTTCTATTTAATTTTACTTGAGACTTCCACTCCGCCACATTTCAGAGGAAAATATTGTACTTTCCACAGTAGCCTACATTTAGATATAGGCCTTGTTATACTTTGAAGATTTTAAGATATTAGGCTACATATAATCAGTAATATATGATGCAATTTTTATTAAGAAGTTGAAATTGGCTTTATTTGAGCCAGCTACAACCTAAATGCTAATGTGGCCTATCCATAGGCTAATAGTAATCCCAAATTAGCCTATATCTATACTGATAGTGATTCTTTTGCATAAGATACACGTTTAGGCTACTTTTGAAAACGTACTTCCTTCCAACTTTCCACTTTTGGACAAACCAGGTAGGCCTAGAGTAGGCTACTGTGATGACCAGCAACACCTGAACACATGCAGTCCAGCTGCAGAATCCATCATCAAACAGAAATAAAATGTTCCTATGACAGGACACAGCTGTTGTTCTTCTGCAGTGGTGGTCTTTTCTTTACTGCTGGTCTGGGCAACGTGTCCCTGCGCTTGCACACCGTAGGGCTCAGTCGGTGCGGCAGGTTCACCTGTTGTAGCAGTGCGCGAAACACTCCGAGCGTGTTTCCACCGGTGCGCGCGGACGCCTCCACGAAGTTGGCGTCCCACTCGCCTTCCACTGTGGCCATGACATCAGCTGCCAGCAGCACGCGACCCTCGGTCTCGGTCAGATCTGCCTTGTTGCCAACCACGGTGATGGGCGCGCCCTTGTCGCCCCGCAGCTCCAGAATCTCGTCGCGGAGCCGTCGCACCTCCTCAAGGGACCCGGGATCGTCCACCGCGTACACCAGGGCGAATGCGTCACTGTGACGGATGCAGAGCTCCCGCATGGCCGGGAAGGAGTAGCTCCCGCTCGTGTCCAAGATCTCCAAGCGCATCTTCCCGGACCCCGCAGTGTCGTACTCCAGCACGTAAAGCTCCTCCACTGTGCGCGTGTACTTGTGCTCGAAGCGGTCGTGGAGATAACGACATATGAGCGCGCTCTTACCGACCTTAGCTGCCCCTAGGAACACCAGCCGGACTGTGTTGGGACGCCCTGACAGAGGCATGCTGACCTGGTCTGTGTGATTCGGAGCGAGCAAACAGAATCTTGTTCCCACTGGTGATGCCAGTGACTCTGGTCTCCTCTTTAAGCATTTATTGGTTTTATTGGTAGCCCTTTTATAGGCTGGCCACCGCTGCTCTCCACAGGAAACTCTCTCTCCCTCTCTCTCTCTCTCTTTATCCCTCTCTCTCTCTCTCTCTCTCTCTCTCTCTCTCTCTCTCTCTCTCTCTCTCTGTCTCTCTCGTAAGGTGAAGCAGGATTCAGAGCATGCACTTTAGGTCAAGTTGAGACTTTAGTGCTAGACCATGCACCACTATGACATTTGGCAGCATGGAAACATTTAATGTCTTGTTACTGATATGTCAACAATTTCCAGGCACTCTTACTGGCCAGGCAGGCCTATGAGTCATGAAACTTCAACCACCACTACAGCAGAAAATTAAAAATCAAATGAAATAAACAGGGCCACATTTCCACACTATATTTTTGTTATGCTGAAATTAGGCATCCATACTTGAGTCCAAATAGCCAAAAAGTAACAGCTCTCACTAGGAAGCAGGTAAATGCCCCGATCATTGTTATTGCATTACACATAACTGATACGTTGTAAACATTATATAACGTGGTATCTGATCAATGTGGAGCTAATTCTACTGTACTGTTGGGTAGTTTAATCTAAAAGGCATGTGTAGCGTAATCTAAAGTAACTGGTACATTTATTTATTTTAACTTTATTTATTTAAAATCTCCTTTTCATGAGAAACCTGGTGAAGACAGCAGCATTACAACACTGAAACAATAACATGCTACAGAAGAGTATAAATAGCATCCTGTTAAGATGCAGGTAGCTGTGAGATTCCGAAACTAGTTAAGTAAAAAGAAGATGAAATATTGACCAAAAGTGCTATTTTCCAAATAATTTAAAACTGAATTGGATTCAACAAAGGCAGTCACCTCTGACCATGTCAAATGCAATGGATTAGACAGTAACCTACTTGCCTTAAAATTGCACTTCAGAACAGTAGGCTACTTGTGTAATCACTTAGTTACAGTCCACCACCAGTGTAATCATTAGTGACCTACTGTATGTACAAGTAATTTTCAGCAATGGTGAACTTGCATTGAATTACCAGACTTTGATATGTCCACAGACAAACTCCCTGATCACAAGCTGGCCTAAAATGCCATGCATTAATACTTGGTGACCAGTTTTGTTTTGCATTTTTGGCTCATTTCCTTTATTGGTTTATTGGTCCATTATCCCCACATGTTTTTTGCAATTGTGTTCCTAGGAACTCACAGCCTGAAGTCTGTCAGTCATAAAGAGATGGTCATTCATGCACACACAACCATAATACAGACACGTGCAGTCATATTTACACCCGTTATGAGTCATGGAAGGTTTCGCTGTAATGATCTCCCTCAAAGATCCGCTGTTTAATACAAACAAGGAGTAGATGGAATCTTGTAGATAATTTCAGCAGCCCAATATTTACTACCTGAGTGTACCACACCTGAATTTCTTGAGAAGCAGGTGCGGTAAAGAACAGATGGGTAGCAAAAGTAGGATTACTTAGTACCAGTCACATTTATATGTGGCCATCAATGGGGTTTTAGAGAACCTCTTAATTGTTTTCTCTATGAGCGTGTCATTATTGTCACATGGTACCGAACAAAACTCCTTTCTGTCTCTTGCTGACTCACACTGTCTGGCTGGATGTGGCTATCAGTGGGCAAACAGATACTGCGATAATTTGTCAATGTGTGCATGCATTTGGGTGCATGCATTAGTTTGTTCTATCTCTTATCTCTACCCTTGAAGAAGGTCAGTTCTTCCTGTTTAATTTACGGGAGCAAATAAGACAGGAACAAATTAAATAAAAAAGAACAAATCTGCCGACAAACTAACATGAGCGAATGGTTGTAACAGCACTTTCATTAGATGCATCTGTCAGACCTCATTTAATATGGACGTGTTCACTGTCTGTGGCTTTTTTAGGGTAGGCCTGTCTTTTGGCATGAATTGCAGCATTTGTGGGCCTTTCTGCAAAGCAACCACCTGTCATCTTGGCATCTGTTTCTAGGTGAATTCTCAACAATACCGTCAAGACTGGTAGTAAAACATTACATGTAAACAACACCAAAACAGTGTGAACACCTAAACATTACACCTATATGTGATTGTTGAACATTTCTTTCCAAAAATATGGACGTTAATCTGCTGTTATAACAATCTCCACTCTTCTGGCTTCAGATTTTGGAACCTGGCTGCAAGGATTTGCTCCCATTAAGCAACAAAAGATTTACTGACGTCTGCCACTGATGTTGGTTGATAAAGCAGGCTCACAGCTGGCATTCACGTACTTCCCAAATGTGTTGGTTGAGGTTGAGGTCAGAGCTCTGTGCAGGCAAATCAAGGTCTTCCACACTAAATGTATGAAACAATTTATTTTTTTGGATGTGGCTTTGCTTTGTTGAAACAGCAGAAGGCCTTCACCAAACAAAGTTGCAAGATCCATAAAGATGGAAGCACATGCTGTGGCAATTTCTCTTAAAGTGATAGTTCAGGAGCTAAGGCACAGAAGCTAAGCAATGTTCTGCTGTAAACAGGATCAGTAGCAACACATATTTTAGCCACCCACTAAAAAAAAACTATATCAGTTCAAGTGTACCCTATGTGTTTAATATTTTCAGCTCTCTACCTTGCTATCAGACAGCCGTTTCCTTTAGAACTACATTTTCTCAACTGTAGAACTTCTGTACTGTACATAAGCGTAACTTGGCTGCACAATTTATAAAGTAAATGGCTGTCTGATGGTCTGTTTCTCCAAACTAGGGACATGCTGACTGTCATCTACTGCAGGTAATGCACTGACTATGGATAAATACAATATATATATATAAACATCCTGAACTATCCCTTTAACTGAAACTGGCCTAAATAATGAAGGTGTCCACATGCTTTTTGACCATATAGTGCACATAGTGAAATTAAACCAAATCATCTTCACATTATACACTAGATGGCAGCAGTAAACTTATTAGGACACCAGCACTGAAGTAGTTAAGTATGTTTTGGAAAATTACTGGTGTAACTGCAGTAATGTAAGTAACTGTAATATGTGATACATGTAGAGGTAGCAGTGCTACAGTTAGTTCACACAACAAAGTACAATCCTGAAAACCACAAAAACAAGGAAACAAATTTAGTAAGCTGTCATGCCCAACATATTAGTTATAGTATGTGTGTCTGAGTTACTCCAAGTTCATACCATGACATTTGAAATTTGAAAAAGAGAACATCTCAACTCTAGGTCCATTTACCATCTTTTCCCAGAGCTTTAACCTCTTAGATTCTGAGCAAATTACGTCCACTGATGAAGACCATGAGATGTGATCTTAATTAGTGGTGAATGAGTTTTTGTGGGTTACAGGGCTCTAGGGATGGCAGTGTTGGTCAGTCAGCCGGCCCACCACTTTGGTCCAGACCAAAAAATCTCTACAACCATTAAATGGATGTTCATGAAATTTGGCACAGAAATTCACGGTGCCATATTAAGTATTGTCTAACTTTGGGTATCCTCTGACTTTTCATCGACTGCCACTAGAATGTCCAAGGTTTCACTTATCCAGAAAAATATTTCTAAATCTACTTGCTCCCAAGAGGATGTAGCCTATTATACAGACTTCATGCGGCTCTGCGCAGCACTGACTTAACGTGATGCATGCTGGACTTAACATGAGGCATGCTGGTTAGAACTAATACTTGAGAAATCACCAAATTTACACATAGAACATGCTCAGAAAACATTGTGATATATTGTGTAATTAGCTCTGACAATAGTATTAAAATATACTGTGAAGAGAATATTATAGCTACAGTGACAGATAGTCTTGCGCTTTCTCGTCCCTCTCCTATCACTTTCTGCAGGTGTTCTGGCTCTGGAGCTGTCACGGTGACCATGACCAGTCTTGTGTTGTGTTGTGGTTTGGCCAGTCTCTCTCAGTGTGTGGTGTGGGTGTGGTCTTCCCAGGTTCCTGGCTCTCAGCATAGCTGCTGACTATCTGCCAATCAAGCCCTGGCTTAAAGACTCTGTACACCTGACTTAGATTGTTGTTCTCACTTCAGTGGTAACTACGCACGGCCAACCCTCTTGAGGACGTCTAATGATTTACCTTGCTTTTGTGAAAGAACCTAGAGTAACGTGTTATTCTCTGTCTGCTTCAGCGCCTGCGATCTCCGTTTGCTACACCATTTGCCACTCCGCCCGCCACGCCAAGGCCACCACTACTGGACCTCTATTCAACCACGCTATCTTCGCTCCCGCAGACCAGCTCCGGATCATTTGCCGACACTATTCCACTCATTGTCTATATTATCATTAAAACCCTCTTCCGAACCTCACTCGCTGTCTCTGTCTGCTCCTGAGTCCTAACCGCACCCGACGTAACAGGAGCTGTGGAGTCTGGATCTGTGGTTGCTACCATGTTCCTGCTCACCCTTTGCTACAATTGCTATTACTAGTCCTATTGTTATTAATATTGTTATTGTTATATTACTATTATTATCATAATATTACTGTAAATATCTACACCATTATTCATTTTCAGTCAGTGCCACTTTTACCTTTACTGTCTGTACTTCTGTGTGGATATTATCTTGGCTGCTACCCCCTACCCCTACAGCCCTTTCTCCCTCTTTCTTGCTATCTCTCTTGCTCTCTCTCTCTCTGCCCTAACCGGTCGAGGAAGATGGCCGCTCACCCTGAGCCATGGTTCTGCTCGAGGTTTCTGCTTCTTTGAAGGATGTTTTTCCTTGCCTCTGTCACCAAGTGCTTGTTCATGGTGGGAATTGTTGGGTCTCTGTAAATAATAGAACGAAGAGTAGGCCTACAGTCTAGGCCTGCTCCATATGAAAAGCATTATGAGATAACTATTGTTGTGAATTGGCGCAATATAAATTACATTAAATTTAATGAATTGAAAGTCAGACAGCTATGCCAACAATAATGGTTGGTTATAGAACACCACGGAAGAGTTTTTCACCTGATTTTGAGGAGCATCTTTTTCAATATGCAGGTCAGCTGACATTTATTTTGGTCTGTCACCAAGTGAGGTCAAAAGATTTGCCTACTGCGTGTCTATGTGGGCAGAAAACAAAAAGACCAGCAAAGAGTCGTTTACAGGCTTACTAAAGAGGCAAATAATGCTGTCCCTCAGAAACAAGCCTTGCCAGGACAAGTAGCTTCAACAGAGAAAATGTTTTCTTGGACA